AGGACATCCGCAATCAGCGTCGCTACCGGCAGAGGCGTAAGGCGGAGCTGGTGAAGCTGCAGCAGACTCTGAATGCCCTCAACTCCAAGACGACCTTCTATGAGGAGCAAATCGACTACTACAACAAGTACATCAAGACCTGCCTCGACAACCTGGCCCGCAGTGGCAAGTGTGTAATCCCACGACATTGATTGGACCCTGTTGCTTGGACTGTGTTGTCCTCTGCTGGTGGTTTGGTTTATCTCTGCTTGTGAAAACATTGGGAATCGTGAGTGGGAATCGTGAGTGAAACTCAGTGGTTCATTGTGAATGCTCCCTTTTACGAATTTGCATTATAAATCAACGAGCTTATAGAATGACCTTGCTGTAAGTTGCCAGCGAGACTGATTCAAGAGAGCTGAATCCATATTGGATCCCAGCGCAGGGAGAGCCGAATGAGCTCCTGTCCTGGCAATGTCCACATTAACCCTTTCCCGTTCCGAGGCGCCTGGAAGTTACAGGGTGGGGTCCCGTAACGCGCAAGTGGTTCGCGTTAAATTTATTTCGAGAGGCGTAGCACTTGCTGTTTTTAAAGACATTGTACTGTACACGCCGCAGAGAACTGTAACGACACGATCGCACTCTGATAGCTGACGCCAAACTGTGCCACACGCCCCTCCCGCATGGCCTCTCTACTTCCGATTCCGTTCGCAGTCAGTTTTATTCCATTTGGAATCGATTCCATTCCGTATGTGTACGTCATCGGACCAGAAAAGGATTAAAGCAGTTCAGTCCGTACTTAACACTTAAATTGATCCGGTAGATTCAGCCGTTGGTCAAAAGCCCTGGATCGATGCCTAGAAATATAGGGCCCAAATCTCTCCCATTCCTGTTATGAATGTAACTTCACTTGCTCTGAATATATTTGTGATAGGTGCTGCCTTTAAAAATGTCCTTCGTAATCTGACCATGTGCTGTGAGCTTGTTGAATGTGTTTGCTAACAATTGCTTTTAATTGACAACGCGAAATAGCGTAGGCGTGTCTGCTTTGTGTATTTAATAGCTATTAACTTAGTACTTGAGTTCGATTCCTGGCCATGGCTAACGGCAGTGATATCTGAGCCGGCCCTTGGCTCCTCCTTCACCAACTCGCTCTTATCAGCATGATGAAGTATGGTGAAACAACATCCATGACTGACACAGCATTAGGCCTTTATCCTGCAGTGCATTGATAAGGGTTGTACATCTGTTTTTAAAGCAATTTCAAACTGCTCCCCCCCCCCCCATAATTTAACAATGCGTTGTGAAAATTATGTTTTTCCTACTGAACAGCCGTATATTTGCGTTTTGTAAGGCTGCGGCTAATAGTCGCGCGCACGTCCGTTTTTTTTTAAGGAACTCGCGACGATCGGTACATCAAGGCAGCGCCAAGGGTAGTTCCGGCAAGAAGGTGAAGCAGACGAACCTGCGCTACACGGCAGCACGGCTGCACGAGAAAGGAGTGCTGCTGGAGATCGAAGGGCTTCAGCCCAGCCAGTACGTGTGTTTCGGTTTCCACTACGCACGGGACAACTTCGCGAGAGTGCTGTGACCGAATGCCGTGCGTTTACCGATGCATTGGCCCAAGTGACTCAGAATTCATCCGGTCTCGTCAGGTCTCGGAAAGCTAAGTTGAGCCTGGGTAGTACTCGGATGGGCAACCACAGTGGACAGCGCAGTGCAGAAGAATCTACCCACCCTCTCTACCTGCTATGATCAGCATGGTGAAGTAGGGTCAAACAACCCCTCGCATATAATGAGGCCTAAAATTCAGCAGTGGATTGACAAAAGGGTGTACGTAAGAATTATTTTCGTGTTCAAGGTTGTTTAAATACACTCAAAATGTATGGGATTTGTAAGGTTTTGTATGCACGCCATTGAGGACCCACGTGCTAATGCTGGACTGATGTTGCAGGTTCAAGAATGTGCTCTTTGACATCAGCCCCTCGGACGAGGTGGGCGATTTCGATGTGAGAGCAAAGTTCATGGGAGTGGAGATGGAGAAAGTACAGCTGCATTTCCAGGTGACTGTGTCCCCAGCTCACACAATTTCACTCAACCCCCAGAGGATAACTGAAGTTCATTTCTAAAAGCCCATTTGATATATTTCCTAATATTTCTAAACGTTTCTTCATGTAGATCCTTTAATATGATAGCTTGTCATTTATATTAACGCATAGATGCTTGAATTGACTTGGCCTAGTCAACTGGTCAATCTATGGAGACTGTTCACCACAATAGGAATGTGGAATTCCCATGACTGGATTGGGGGTCCCCCAAGACTGCTGTGCTATTCCTCATGCATCAGGGAGAGGCAGAATGGTTTACTTTTCAGTTTGCATAGCCACACTGTCCAATTGGTAGTGCAGCATACATCCTAATCACAAGGTTGTGGCGTTAGCATCCCGACCACAAATGAATTAACCTTTGATCCCACGGAGCTGCGCAACCTCAATAAGCGAGTCACATCACTGGAAGGTGAGTGTGGTCCCTCTGTCTAAAGACTTTGTAATTTCCACCACAGACTTAGAACTGCCAATGGAGCCGAGTGCTTTCCCAGTGTACGGTGTGGTACTGCCAGACACGCACGGTCCCTTAATGTATGGATCTGCCAATAACATCATTGTCCATCTTCCTTCCGCCAGGACCTGTTGCAGTTGCAGTACGAGGGGGTGGCCGTCATGAAGATCTTCGACAAGGCAAAGGTCAACGTCAACCTGCTCATCTTCCTGCTCAACAAGAAATTCTATGGAAAGTGAGGGGGTTGCCCCCCTGTGGCAGGGTATGGGGGGGGAAAAAAACGCCTTGGGCGAGTGGGTCCCTCTACCCCCTCCCCCGCCGCCGCTGCCCTCTTCCCCAATATGACCCCAAGGCGTGCCTCCTTGTTTTAAAAAGCACACACTTTTTCCGTATGCTTCTGCCCCAACCCTTCCTCTAGCTCTCCTCCCACCCGGGTGAATGTACGTAGCGTTTGTGTATCCACGGTGTGGAAGGGAGCCGTGGTCGAAAATAAGATTACATTCCACGCGTCACGATGTAATGAAATTAAGTGTGGGGGGGGGGGGTGGAAAGCGCGCCGATTTTTTTTTAAGTTTTCTAAATGCGGAGGCGCTACTGTTATTGTATTGAGCCCTCTCACTCACGGAATTACACACGTGCTCACAAACTTGGGGAAAGGAATGACAATTGGTGAACAGTTCTGTTTTTAACCTTTGCACAATGTACACGACAGCTAATTAAGCTGGCAGTAAGAATAATAAATTTGTATAACCCGTTTATATACATATTTTGTTTTCCTTAAGTAAAAGTTAGAATGTTTGAACACTCTTTTGAACAGTACATAGATTACATCCTGCACTTACCATTCGACAATCACATCTTGAAACACTTAGTTGTCATTTATAGGGTAATATTTATACATTACAAATTAACACTATTCTCTTTACAGAGCATTTTGATTCACTGACAAACGTACAGTATATGGGTGTGCTTTCGATGGTGTAAAGCACAGTCCTCTTGCTAAAGTGCCTTACATTGTCTTGTGATTATTCTAAAACTGTCATTGTCTGAATTAATCTTCTTACATTCCACTCTTCACCTATTCCTATTTTGCTTAATCGTCTGCATAGCATCATGTATAAACAGAGATGCTCCATGTAAGTGACTTCTCTTAGTTCATCCATTCCCTGATGTCTTTCAGAAGTGAAGCTCTGCTGTTTGCTGTTTATGCAAAATAAAGTAGCTGGTACGCTGTGGTGGCTTGCCTGAGTTCTGAGTGCGCAACTTCTATTTGGCAGAGTTGTGCGTTTTAACATTTTTTTTTTGCAAAACAAAGAGTTCTTCTTGATATGGAGTGAATACTTACTCGAAGGAAGTTCTTTATTGTGTGGTTAACACGAGTTTTGACATCTGTGTAATCCGTGATGATAGCAATCTCCCAGGCCGTCTGCCGACATGCATAACAATCTGAGCCCGGAACTTGCAAACTTGGTAAATAAAAACACTAACAATTAAATTCCTTATCTTGTAGTTGATAAAATTACTACCAATTGGTGGGAAATCAAAGTTTGTTCTATATAAATGGCCTCTACCACACAAATGTGGAATTTCTACATGCAGAATTGGTTTAATGCATGCGTTTGCTGGGCATGGTGATGTTTGCCTGAAAATTCATCTTGAGACAGGGTTAGTGGGTTGCATGGAGATCAAGTGCACAAGATACTGACCTAACTTCAGGGCTTGCGTTGCTTGTGTGAGAATACAATAGGGTATGTGGATTTGAGTGCCGGTCCTTGGTATGTGGGATATATATGGATACTTTACTTTCCTCCTGAAGGCACAAATGGTCAAGGAATTGATGAAGCATGCCAAGGAGCCTCTTTCTGAATTATTTTTTTGCAAATATTGATCGATATTTTCTTGGTGGGGTTCCTTCGTGATGAAAAGCAAATGACTTTTAAATGTCAACAAACACTGCATGTCCGATCAAGTTGTTAACAATAGTAATGCTCACTTTGTATTTCAACCTATCTAGTGACTTTACCGAAAGACCCAAAGAATATGAATTCCTGCAGTTACGAAAGCATTAAGTCAATATTTGCTCTGTGTTCAAGTAAAATGTAACAATCAAATGACGTTGCATGCAAATGGTATAATTGCATAATAAAATGCATATTCTTTAAAACCCATCACATTTGTGCATATTTTAACAGATTATAAAATAAAACCCAATTGAGATTTAAGTTTCAACTTAAAAGCTCTGTCACAGGTGGAAAATTATATAACAGAATTGAAGTCGACAATAAAGGACAACATTTAAAAATAATTTTGTAAATGCAATCATGAAATGCGAAAGTTAGGGCTAAAGTGGACCATTCGTTCAATTGTTTTCCGATTGTAACATTTTATATCAAAAGAAAACTATAGAACGTCTTTCATGCATCAGTGATATGCATCACATAAATAAAGTGTTCACAAAATAATTCTGTTTTATTGTTTTAATTGAATTAAAAACCATTTATACAACTGTACAAAACCAATCATTTCAAAACGGCTGCAAATGCAGTACACATGCACAACAAACTTCTATGAACTTCATGCTGTGCAGTGTCTGCAGTCAGGGCATGGACAAAACAAAGGGGATGCTCATGCACACATGCAAACTCGTCTGCTGCCAGCAGCTTGTGTGAGCTCCCTCTTGGGGAGAACACCCACCTTTCCAATGCCCTTGTACTCCACTGGACTGTCCCCCTTCACATCGAAAACAATACTAAGGCATGTCAGGATTCACCCCACTGGTGATTTAGTGAATATTATAATTCAGGGTCACAACTCCATTACAGATTTTTTTTTCAATGGTATAGTTTTGTTCCCTCCATTTGGCTTAATGTAACATTACAGTTTGTATAAATAATAATTACAATTTATGTATATTTACACATGCATTGCTGGTTCAATAATTTAAATGCTGCTGGGTGCAGTTGAACTGCCAGTGACTTCATAGTTTGTCGGCAATATGCCAATGGGTGCTCATGTGGAACTCTTGTCTTGAGGTGCGTTTTATGCCAACATTTTTAAAGCACTTATTAAATTCACCTTACTGCAGCGTTGCGTATATCGGCAAGGGAAGCTTTGGTTTCGGGATTGTACCTCAAGCAAACAGTGTTTGGATTCAGTTATTAAAAGTGACATAACCACCAAGATAACCATTTGATACAAATGGAATTAACCGAGCAAATTAGGACAGACTTAAAAGCTATTTTCTTACCAAATAAAACGTAACAAAGTTGGCTTTCTCAGTCAACTTAATGTCTTACATTCCCAAAAAAAATAAAGAGGTTGATTTTAAATCAACGCATCACGGTTTTAACGACTTGCCCACAGTCGTTTAAAGTTGTTTCTTCAACACGCTTTCTCCATCCTCATGCGCCCGCTGCCAGCCTTGTCGCCACCCTCCGCACATTGCCCCACCAGGCTTTGCCTCTTAAGCGTCGTCGCCCGCAAACTCGTGCTGCGGCAAGATGACCGCGGCGCAGCCCACTCCGGCGAATGACGCCGGGAAGTGCAAGTCCCTCTCCCACTCGTCCGTCCCGACGTTGTACACCTGCACCAGGCTCGTCACGTTGTTGAGCCGCCAGTTGTATCCGCCCACCACGTAAATGCGGTCCCCCAGCAGGGCGCAGCCAGCCTCCGACTGGCCCGTCCGCATGGGCGTCACGGCCGTCCACTGGTCGGCCTCCGGCACGTAGCACTCGGCCGCCAGCACGTCGAAGCAGCGCTCCACCTGGTCGGCGCGCCCCCCCAGCGCGTACACGCGCCCCCGCGCCGCCGCCATGCAGTGCAGTACGCGCGCCTCGCTCATGGCGGCGCGGAACTCCCAGGCGTCGCGCGACGGCTCGTAGCACTGGAGCGCGCGCTTGTCCTCGCCCGTTATGCCGTAGCCGCCCGCCACGTAGAGGCGCCCGCCCAGCGTGGCGCCCGCGTGACCCCACGTGCGCCGCTTCAGCGCGCTCGCGTACAGCCAGCGGTTGTCCTTGGGCGAGTAGCGCTCGACCGACGCGAGGCTGCCCGTGCGGTTGCGCCCGCCCACGGCGTACAGGGCGCCATCGACCGCCCCCAGGTGGAATTGTATTCGGGCGTCCTGCATGGGCTGCAGGCGCAGCCACTTGCCGAGGTGCGGGTCGTAGCGGAAACAGTCGCTGACGGCGCCCTCACCGCTGCGGTACTGCACCTGCTGCCCCCCGACCACAAACACAAAGTTGTCGAGCACGGCCACGCACGGGTGGCTGCAGCCCACCGCCATCTCTGAGAGCTCTGTGGTACAGACACGGGGCGCACAGCGGGTGCAAGCGGTCAGCAACGGTTCTGGAATGCGCGACGCTACTCAACAACTAACGTGAAGCCCGGAGTGAACGTGCAGCACATGGCTGCGCTACTTTTAACGAATGAGTTGACGAATTGGAGCCACTGGGTGGAATTTCATGGAAATGTCCAAGCTGCACCCATAGCCAACTGGGTTAGCACTGAACTGAATCTTAGCAGTGCAAACAAATGAAGGTTGTATGTTCACTCCAGCCTGCACAAATATCAACAATAACTTTCACAATTGAACAAAGTAACGAAAATTTACGCAACAGCAATTTCAAATCCGGCATCTTCTCACACCCAAGTGCTTAAAGATAGACCAGAAAACAAACCACTTAATTTGTACATATCCTCCTAGGCTGTGTCCTGAGCTGCTCAATGACAACATTTATCAATTTAAAAAAGTTATATCACCATCACGTCACACGCAGCATTGCCTAAATGCCCTCTCTCATGGCATCGCTGCCATTCCAACGTGAGACGGCAGACTCGACACTATACGTCTTCACAATGTACAGCGCATGGTGGGAGCCGACCGAATTAACCCAATGGAGCACAACGAGCGCTGGTAAATTTCCAGCCCATGATGGCAGCCATTGATTTCCCTAGCGTATCGGCCGGTTTTATTTTGCAGGTGCAAATTTCCATTATTGAAATGCTTTGCGTAGACCCTGCTCAGATAAGTTCAAAACAGCACTCGGTCGGCTTTTGGGCTGCATTCACAATTAAAGTGTGGCTGGCCGTGAACGACGTAGCAACCGCGCTGCGATGATGGGGGGGGGGGGGGGGAATTGCTCGCACCCTTGAAGTGTCGGGAGGAGCTGTCGGGGAGGAAGTGGACCTTGGTGCTGACTGCACGGTCCAGGTCGATGTAGGGCGTCCCGCCCAGGGTGAGCAGCGACACGTGGTCCGAGCGGATGGCTGTGCGCGGGCTCTGCATCTCGTGCTGTCTGAAGGGCAGCACCTGCATTTGCGCACAGATGGATTGGGGGCCTTCAACTTGGCTACTCATGCAGAAGAACTTCACAGCAGTTTAACACGTGAGCTTTCGCGACCAATATCCATAATGCAGGCGTTTTTTTGGGTTAGATCACGTAAATATAAATGTCGTTAAACCCGACACAGCCAATTAGTAGTTTGTCACGTGAACATAACATGCCAATTCGTTACTAGTACAGCACACCAGTGTGTTGGAGTAAATCCACAAAATTTACAATCCGAGCACAACGTTCCGTCAGTAATTCCAACTAGCATAATCATATTTGTGCGTACGTGTGCATGTACGTCGAACTTCTTTCGCACCATACAAAGAAAACCGTGCCAATCGGAGGTTGTGGGGGGAATAGTCAATGCCGTTGGGCCTTTTACCTATGTAGACATATTTAGAGTGAAATTAGTTACCAGATGTTTGGCTGAAAGATAAAACCCCAAAACGAATAGCTACTACCTATTAATACATACCGAGGGCTGTCACAAAAGCTTAATTGACAAGCACATGAGTGTGGAATTCACGACATTACTGTAATGCCAATGCCATACAAGCTTAATTCATCAATCCATTGAATTAACGGTTACACTGGAACATAAATATTACGGCACCAGTCAGAACTGTGACGACACGCTCATACATTTTTAACTAGATGTCAAACCGGTGAGGTCACGTGAGCACGATGATAACGCCCGACTTTATTACGTGTTCAAAAGCATGTTGGGTAACCTGGTTGGATGACGGCCTTATTGTAATCATCTGCAAATGTAACTTTAGTTTTGTTTGCAACTGTCTTTGATATTCTCCCAACATCTAGTGAGATGGTCTCATCCTGGTCACCAATGACTGCACAAAAAAACTTCACATTAAATTTGGTTCTACGCTTTAATTTGGCTGAATTATAGCTCTAAGAATTAAACGTACCAGTTTGTGATATCAAGGGCAATACTCTGCACCAGAGTGTGTTGGAAAGTGTTGTCCCGTTGACCTACTGTATGCAAAAGCGTTTTTTTCAGGAGGTTTGATGCATCTCTGTGAAATACACTATTGGCTGTTCTCTTACACTAAGGGTGTGAGAGATCCAAATGTATACTCCTGTCTTGTCACAAAGCACTGATAACACAATTGGGTTACAATCGGGAGAAAAAAAACAAAAATTGCCCACATCACCAAAGGCAGGGACAGACACGCACCGACTCTCACACATGAACATGGCTGGGTGTCAATTCGAAAATGGTGGTGCCAAGTACAAGCCAGCAGGGACATTTATTTCCCGTCACATTCATTACCAGGCACGTATATATTGCGTAAACTCACATGTGTGCACGTGGTGAGGACAACCCTGGCAATTAATGAGCAATTTGTGAAATACATCAATTAGCGCTGGCAGCAATTATCTAATTTTCCCCTCCACAAGCCTCATGTAGCACTCGTCACAGAATGTCCTCGCACGGTGTCACTTGTAGTTGAATTGATAAAAGCCACGTGAGCGCTGAACCATATCTACACCTTGTGTTCACCCACTCTCAAAACAGTAGTCTTGAGATGTGGTCGCATTGAGATACTTTATAAATACCAAATTGTATAGTCCATGGAGCAGAACAACAAATGTTTACGCTTAAGCTGGCAAAACATGAATCGCGCTAATTCAATCGTGGTATGAAGTTGCAGCTTAATTGAAATTATACAAATTACAAGTGGTAAATTAATAACAGTATTTTATCATTAAGAAAAAAGACCTCAACCTGTCTGCTTATACTTTAAAGTTATATATTTCTTAATTAAAAAAAATACTTATTTTTCCCATCTCAGGTGAGACCAAGCAAATTATTTCATCTGCGTCCATAGACTATTACAGAGGTGCGATTTACATCTCGGCAGAAGGGGGGGAACATTCCCGCCTGAGGGAGCTAAGCATTGTGCCCATCAGCTGAGCCAGCATATAGCCCTCCACCAGATGTGCATAGCTACAGTGGCTTCCTAAAATCAGAAAATGCACCTTTAAATCGAGATTAAAAAAACTCATTACTTTAGAAATGATTTTTGTGTTTAGTTTGCCGTCCTTCCCCCGCACCTCCTATTAGCACGGTTGGCTACGCACGGTGCGAAAGAAGTTCAACATGCATACATGAAGGTGAAACTGACCTAAAAGGTATATATTTGGTGTTTGAACATCTTAACACCTGTTTTATTGGCAGAAAGGGTAAAATACCTATTCTTATTTTTCTATCGCGCAAATCGCGGGACACATTCTCTCTACATCTAGCACAGGGCGCACGGACCTGGAAGTTGAAGGCCTCGAGTAGGAAGCTGCGGCAAGTGGGGTCCTCCATCATGATGTCCACGGGCTGCACGTGATCGACAAGCTGCACCGAGCTCATGAGCGGAAAGCGCACGTGGGCTAGGACATCGGGCGCCACGCGCCGCCGCCCCTCGCTGTGCCGCAGCCAGCGAATCGCCGCTTGGAACAGCTCCACCTGCCCCACGTCGCGGGCACAGCAACACACCCCACCCTATGAGCAGCCGCAAACCACGATCCTTGAAAAAAGAGACCAAATGTCCAAGTTTGGCCAGAGCAGTTACGGTTTTAGAAAGCCTGTCCCCCTCCCCGCATACCGAAGCATTTGCTATTATTGGGATTTTGAATTATCAGAGCAGTGGGTGGGGCCTATGAGCAGTCGGTGGGGCCAATGTCAGAAATCACCAGGCTTCTCTGTGGGCAGGGATAGTGATTGAGTGGTCATGACTTTGGGCTGAGCTCAACACCAGCTCCCGGTTGAGGTGCTCAGGCTGCTCACGGGAATCGATGGCTGTTTGGGTAATGCCCCCAACATTGGTAACAACACGCACCTCCGATTGGCACTGTTGGCTACGTACGGTGAGAAAGAAGTTCAATATACATACAACACGTTACCACTTGAGTGGCCAGGTGGCATAGGGCACGACACCCCACAGACCACCTTTTCTCGATGACCTCTTACATTTGTTTACAAATTGGGCCACTCCACTCTAGATGCATCCGACAGCTGGAAATCAAGGAAATCAGTATAGTGCAGGGCTCACAAGGACCGAAGTCAAGATGCACTGGCTTAAAAGGGATGCGCAGTGACTTTGTTTCAATGGTACAGCCGAATAATCTGCCAAGTAAAACAAGGAGCCGAGCAGGAGGAGACGTCGGTGCTTGGCGCTCGATCTCTCACCTCGGAGCAGCACTGCAGCCGGTTGCTCCTCAGAAAGAAGACGAGGCGGTCGAGCGGCAAATGCAGGAAGTCATCTTCGGCGGCGATCTGCAGGAAGTGCGCGAAGGTGAACGCGTCGACCGACTCCTTGAGCGAGGCGAGGCTGAACGCCGTCGCCATCTGGCCCACGCCAAGGCAAGTCTCCACGCTCATCGCCGACTTGAGGAAGTCCTCGCAGAGCCCCACGACGGGCGCCATCTGCAGGAAGACTGCGGCGCCCAGCACGTCCTCCACGCACTCCAGGTCCAGCGTCACCTCGCCACAGTAGGCGAAGTCCAGGATGTGCTGCAGGCCGCGCGCCGACAGCCCCTGCAGCTCGATCTCGCGCTGGCTCGCCTCGCGCATGCCGCCCGTGAACATGGCCCTGCGCGCAAGAACAACAACAGTCTGGCTTTTGAGAATGTCGACCCGTTCCCCCCGTCGCCATCGGTCATGTTCTATCCGCTTCTGGATGAAGGTTTCGCCGAGCAGCGACCGTCCCTCGCGGTCATGTAACCGTCAGGTTTTAAAATCGGCTCAGTTTGATGTTCGGTGAACTTTCCATTATACTCGACATAGTTAAACCAGTTTTCCTAAGATTTTAAACAAGACATGGAGATTTAAGAAGGGACTGATAATTTGATGGGTTATTTGAATACGCACCTTCGTGCAATGGACATAAGCAAATTGACAAATTAAACAAAGGGTGCATTGGCGATGCAATAGCGCTGACGCCTATTTGTTTGAAATATTGGAGCAATGCCATGAGGTCCGACCATATTGTTCAGGTTCATTTTAGTAAGAAATCGTTATACTTCCCTTCATCCAAATGTTCTGAAGAACAATACAGAGGAAGAATAATTATGGTCAGATGTGGCAGGATGAGCAACATTATTCGATGAAAGATTGCTTATTTCAAAGGTATTTTACTACTTGTACAGAACACTTGTTTGAATGTGTCAATAATATTCGTTCTACCAAAAATGTCAATGCCATGTATAGCCTATAACCCGGGCAGCCTTGAATTTAATGGCCGGCACGGCAAACGAGGGGGCAGGTGGCCAATACCCCGCCCGGTCGCCTTTGTCTCCCCAGTGGTGATGTTTACACATCGCACCAGGTACTCATTTGAGACCGAGTCGACCTAGGGGAAGCCCAGGACCGGTTCAGATAATCGTCATTGGTGTTGGCGGCGAGTGGGAATCGAACTCGGTTCGCCGGGTTCGAAAGCTCGGCGTTTCGCACAAAAAGCTCCACGTCGCGCGCGCGCACGAACACCCACGAGCTGCTCGTCTCTCCCACACTCATCTCCAAAGCGGAGAGCCGCGGAACGCTTGGGCACCTGAAGTAGTCGCTGCAGGCGGCGAGCACGGCGCGGTGCACGCGGAACGACGCGTTCTCCACCAGCAGCGTCACGTCCAGGAGATGCCCGTTGTCGCGCAGCGCCGCCAGCCCGCGCAGCAGGCAGCCGCTGTACCCGGCCGCCGTGAACGTGCGGCGCAGCAGGCTCGGCCGCTCCGTCGCGCTGTCAGCGCGGGAGACGCCCGAGGGGACCGGGTGCGCGAAGGAGGGGCAAGAGATGCAAGAGGGGGGGGGGGGTAGGGGTGATGGGGGGTTGCGACAGCTCTCAATGACACAGGCGACAGCGCGTAATGATCCAGCCCCGCATTGATTAGCGTCAACAAGCCAGCAACCCTCGTGCGGATTGATGGGTTGTGCAGATATCGTGTTTTCAGTCTTGCCATCTGATGGGCTTGGGGGGGGGAAAGAGAGGGCAGTACAGAAAGTAGGTTTACAACGTATCTATACGGGAGCACTAGTTTTCTTCCACTTGTGAAATAATTAAAAAGGGATATACTGAGAAAGACCCATCTGAAAGAGCTCTGATATATGTTTAATAGCAAGTTAATAAAAAATATTATCAGAGGGTTTTTTTTTCACTCAGGGAAAATAAAGACTACATTTCATCCCATGAATAGACCTTAATAAAGTTCATTAACTAATTATCCTAGATATTTCCTAAAATATACATACGAGAGAAAGCAACACTCAAACTTATGAACTTGAACACCAGTTAGCCAGAACATTGGAATATTATTCATTGCATATGTTCACCAAAGCAGAAAAGTTATAACTTTAGATTCAATCAAGACCATACAAAATAAATACAGGACATTATTATAAATTGACAACATAGATCGAAACAAACTTCAGTTCATACAGAGTGACCTGTGTAGGGTAAGGCAAGACATGCTTACTGAATCAAACACTGAACTTGGTCGTGCAAAAAACCTCAAAAAATTATCATTACAATTGTGCTCCCTATCAGGCAGTGTCTGGCTCTAAGAGGTATTGGCAGTTGAACGCAGCCAAATTCTTAAACTGGAAATGTTCACACCAGCCACAGCTCAAGTGGGTGTGCGTGGCACTAATTTAAGAGGCGTTTTTGACGAAGTGTTTATTCCTACCGTGTGTTATGCTGTCACCAGCTCACTCGAATTATCTTTCACAGTGAATCATCATTAAATAATGAAAAACACTGCAACGGCCAATAAACCATGTTCATCGCTCCAAGAAACGTTCATTTGTGTTGCATGTGAGGAGTGTTCAACAAAAATGGCCATTCCACCACTAGCTTTGGGCTGTAAATGGGATAATGATCAACTCCCCATGCTCTTTGCAAAAACTCTTTTTACACCAATTTTTTCCGCTGTATTTAAACCCACGTTTGTTAAACTGCAGTGGCAACGTACTCCACCAAACAACAATTTTCCTCTCGCAATGTCCTGTAAAGCAGGAGGTTTGCGTTGAGGTAGGGATGGCGTTACGTAAATTCCCCTCGACGTGATATAAGACATTCCGCACGCTATATTGACTTTCAAAATGCACAGCGTATAGGTGACAATGTGAATGGGGGGCAGCTGGCTTTGTCTGAGTAAGACATTAACACTGGCCTCCAATGCATCCCCACGGTAAAGATATACACGCAAATCTCCTATATAAAAATATATATTTTAAAATCCTGCGCCTCATATTTGATGCACAGAGTATAAATTAGTTTATAGGTCAAAAACATATCTCAACGAGCGAATTTTATTGAAAATTATATAACATGTTTTTGGAAAGATTTCAAAAAAGCATTATTATTGTTGTCCTAATCTTTCATCCTTCAAAAGTTTTTTTTTACGTGCAAGTATTCGTGCGTGCATGCCAATGCATTTTCAAACATTAAACAAAAAGCCTTAAACTCTTTCCAAAAATGAGTGACCTTCCTAAGATGGTATCCACAAGGAGCACCCCAGTCCCAGTATTTAAGGTTTGTCCTGGCACAGCAGTAACAATCTCCTTAGAGATGTAACAAACCATAATATAAATCAGTCCAAAATTATACTGAGGAAGGGTATGACCAAATCGGGTTTGAGGTTTGGCTATTGTTTTGATTGGCAAGCGCCATGCATAACAGGTATTATAAGCAGTGAGGCTACTTTGTGGGCATTACAACATAAGCAATTGTTGTACTATACTTATATGCTTCCGCATCGATGCTGCCCACCTTCACCAACCAGGGATACTGACCTGCAATTATGTTCTAAACAACCCCTTACAACGCCAGAACGGTGCGGGGAGGCCCTCATCCAGCAGTGCATTGACAAGGGCTGTAACGTGTACACATTATACGTCTCCCACACACACACACTCGTGTAATCTGCGTGCTAATTCTCGGTAATGAGAGATGCTCAATGGTATTGGAGGGAGCAGCTCAATGCCGGCTTGCCACGCCGGTCCTTCAATAATTCACGCAGAGTCTAGGGCGGGAAGCCCGCCGGCGGGACAGCCATGAATGAAAAGCTGAGCACAAACTCGCGCGGCAACGAGTTAGATAGGTGACACGATGACAGTCACAATCGACTCAATGGGCGCGAACGAGCAGTTTTGCACGGGTTAATGGGGCAATGCACACGGTAAGAGGGTGAAGCAGCCGCCGCTCAGGAGGTCCGGCAAACCTGCGACCTTTTCGTGATGTTATTTTATTCAAGGAGCACATTGCCGCCGTTGAAATATTGAGGTTTTTTTTTTTTAAATAGAATTTGAAGGGGGAAAAAATGGCTCTTCTCGATATTTTGATCGCCGGTCCCCTGTGACTTGACACACGGCCAGAATTGATTGTTGCGTCAACGTACGGGTATGTGTGTGCGTGTATGTACGTTGAACTTCTTTCGCACCGTACGTAGATCAAACCGCGCTAATCGAAGGTGCAGGGGGGGGGGCTAAGGACAACAAAACTAAACATCAATCTCGATGTAAACGTGCGTAGCTCCAGCGGCTTGCACGTGCACGTGTAACTACGATACCAACACCCCGCCATTGGCCACTAAGTGACTGTGACGTCACCACGGCGCCTGTGCCAGGCTAGGTGCACTACTTCTGAGGCCACGTGAAGTGTCGAAGGCTCTCCAACACCCATAACAACAAGTCATGCAGCGTAAGGGGCCATCCATTAAGTAGGTAAGTCAAAAATCTGTCAAAAATTTACCACTCACCCTCCCTGTACGCACGCGAACTTTTTACACCTCCCCCGAATCCTATAGAACGGCCGATATTTAATCCACGCAGAAACGATCAAGGATGAATACTATTAACGTGTTTAAGCAAACAGATATTCCACCGCCGGACTATCTAACTAATTTAAAGGTCAATGTAAACAAATTATTATCGAGGCTTCACCCACCCCCCACCCCACCCCCCCGTTTCCTATGCGAACATCGTCAGTAGACCCCCCTCTCATACTAAAGTGAACGCATGTGTGTTGACCCCCCCCCCCCACGTACTGAATGGATGGCCCCTAGCGCACTGACCCACACCGTGGCCGAGTCGGGCATTAATAAGTTAAACGTTGGTTTAGTCTTTCGAGCCACAAGCGCATTCAAATAACGAGACAGTGCAAGTGATTATTATTTCTGTGTCAACATGCAAATCAGTGCCCCCCCCCCCACCCCCCGTGTGCGCATTAGCGTGGTCGAAACTGTGCAATGCGTTCTCCTGTGTGGATTGGCAGTTCCTGTGTGGGTTGGCAGTTCCTGTGTGGATTGGCAGTTCCTGTGTGGGTTGGCAGTTCCTGTGTGGATTGGGAGTTCCTGTGTGGATTGGGAGTTCCTGTGTGGATTGGCAGTTCCTGTGTGGGTTGGCAGTTCCTGTGTGGATTGGGAGTTCCTGTGTGGATTGGCAGTTCCTGTGTGGGTTGGCAGTTCCTGTGTGGATTGGCAGTTCCTGTGTGGATTGGCAGTTCCTGTGTGGATTGGCAGTTCCTGTGTGGATTGGCAGTTCCTGTGTGGATTGGCAGTTCCTGTGTGGATTGGCATATCCTGTGTGCGTTGGCAGTTCCTGTGTGGATTGGCAGTTCCTGTGTGGATTGGCAGTTCCTGTGTGGATTGGCAGTTCCTGTGTGGATTGGCAGTTCCTGTGTGGATTGGCAGTTCCTGTGTGGATTGGCAGTTCCTGTGTGGGTTGGCAGTTCCTGTGTGCGTTGGCAGTTCCTGTGTGGGTTGGCAGTTCCTGTGTGGGTTGGCAGTTCCTGTGTGGATTGGCAGTTCCTGTGTGGGTTGGGAGTTCCTGTGTGGGTTGGCAGTTCCTGTGTGGGTTGGCAGTTCCTGTGTGGGTTGGCAGTTCCTGTGTGGATTGGCAGTTCCTGTGTGGATTGGCAGTTCCTGTGGTACAAGGGATCTCGCGTCAGACCATTGAGAAGAGTTCGTAATGCATTCTTGTCCATGATAGCATCGCAGTAGAGTTGTTAATGTCATCGTTGATCCTCACGTTGTTTAGTTATTGCCGTTACTGAAAGTAATGTATTGTTATTATTGGTGCTTTCGGTAAAGTCACGTAGAAGGAAAACAATGAAATAATATTATTTAATTAATATTAGTAATAAATAATTATTAATAATACAAAAAAAAAAAAATCAATATTATTTAATTAATAAAATTATTAGTAATTGTATTATTAATATTATTAACAATTATATTATTTTATTGTTTACCTTCTACGCGACTTTACCGAAAGAACCAAAAATATGAATCCCTGCAGTCACGAAAGCTTTAAATCAAATTTAATGTATTGTTATTGCTGTAGTTGTGGTAAATATAGCTATGTTAATATCCTTACTGGTTTATATTAAGTATTAGTTTTTGCTATTATCATATGACGATATTTGAGTTATAATTGCTATTTTCTTGTATTGAAAAAAACACATCTCATAGTTTGTGATTGTTGTTGTCATTGCTGCTCTGGTCTCTGTGGAACACCACAACTTCCTGGGTGGGCCCAGCCTGGGGAACACCACCACCACCATCATCAACCCTACCACCACCACCATCATCATCAACCCCACCACCACCAACAACAACCCCACCACCATCATCATCAACCCCACCACCACCACCAACCCCACCACCACCACCAACCCCACCACCACCACCAACCCCACCACCACCACCAACCCCACCACCACCACCAACCCCACCACCACCACCAACCACCAACAACCCCACCACCACCACCAACAACCCCACCACCACCACCAACAACCCCACCACCACCACCACCACCAACCCCACCACCACCACCAACAACCCCACCACCACCACCAACCCCACCACCAACCCCACCACCACCAACAACAACCCCACCACCACCACCAGCATCAACCCCACCACCACCACCAGCATCAACCCTACCACCAACAACCCCACCACCACCAGCATCAACCCCACCACCACCAACATCAACCACACCACCACCATCAACTCCACCACCACCAACAACCCCACCACCACCAACAACAACCCCACCAGCATCAACCACACCACCACCAGCAACATTCACAACTCACCACCAGTAAAGCAGCACCCTGTCACCACCACCAAACGCCACTATTGCCTGATCACTACCGGCACCACGTAACCATCAGCACCACAAACACCATCACCACCACCACCAGCGGCACACCACCAGCACACAGCAGCAGCACCACGAGCCCGTCCTCCCCGCCACCTGCTGCCGCCGCCACCGCCGCCGATGTCTGCGTCGCTCGGCTCCATCGCGAACTCCACTCCTCCTGCCCCAGACTCCGCCATCTTGCCCCGTCCGTGTCACGTGACTGAGCATGGACTGCCCCCCCACCTCGCCACTGTTGGTGTCAGTTACACCACGTGACTGAGAATGGACTCCCCCACCCCACCGTTGGTGTCAGTTACACCACGTGACTGAGAATGGGCTGCCCTCCCACCCCACCGTTGGTGTCAGTTACACCACGTGACTGAGAATGGGCTGCCCCCACCTCACCATTGATGTCAGTTACACCACGTGGCTGATAATGGGCTGCCCCCACCGTTGGTCTCAGTTACACCACGTGACTGAGAATGGGCTGCCCCCCCACGTGCATGCACAGTATTCGGCTGTTTGAAATGTCCACACGACGATAAGCCACTTGGGGGGGGGGGGGGGGGCAACCCATTCACATTCACGTGGTATAACTGACACCCTTCTGAAATAGACCAACATTGCTCAGTGGGTCTTACCTGGTAAAATTAAAAGTTTGGTTTAAGTGCTACCCCCCCCCATCCATGTGACTTGATCATGCCCCCCAAGTAACTTAAGTGCACCCCCACCCTGTAATTTGATAGTGCCCTCCTCCCAACCACGTGACTTGATAGTGCCCCGACCCCCCACCACGAGACACCAGTAGTAGCCCAATCACCACAGGCAAATTACTCCGTTCGCAAATTGAATCGTATTTAATGTCGCTGTGGTTTTGGAGCCATGATTTTTCTGTACAATACCATGTTGAACTTCTTATTCTTGGGTCTTTCGGTAAAGTCACGTAGATAGGTTCAAATAAATTTAATAATCTTGGTTCTTTTTATTCTTTTATTGTTTCCCTTCTACGTGACTTTACCGAAAGAACCAAGAATATGAATCCCTGCAGTCACGAAAGCTTTAAATAAAAAATATTTTCTTTTAACCTATCTACATGATTTACCGAATGACCCAAGAATATGAATTCCTGCAGTCACGAAAGCTTTAAGTCATGCTGAACTTCTTTCGCACCGTACGTCTCCAACTGATGACAACTTTCTATGCGGATTCTGCTCAATTCCTTATTGAGGACATTAGCTTGTGGGGGGGGGGGGGATAACAACACCTGGAGAAAACCCTCAACACACAATAATCAAATTGCAGAAAGCATAGGAGCATGCGTCAGCCACCTGAATTCTGTGAAAAATAGCTTTATCGCTCATCGGATTCACCAAATATAAATTCAAAATTCGGAAGGATAGAGAAGGCTTTAAATATATATTTTAGGAGAAAGCATTTTTACAGGCCCAAGACATCTCTTATTTTTCCAAATGGATGTGTGTTGTTCCTCGATGTCAACAATTGGAATAAACTGGGAAAGCCAAAACGAGCAACCTCTACTGCCATCTACTGACTACGGCGATCACCCCAGCAAGTATCAACATCTGCATCATCCACCAAACCTGCTGCAGTGCTTGGCCATACGACGTTACACCCTCCACTGCGATGCAATTAAACGTTCATTTGCGTAACCTTGTATCATGAATGCTGCCGTAATATATTGGTTAGCAAAAATTGATTTTCAAAGCCAGAGGTCACCAATTCGTCCTCACGACACCATACCTGTCAATCCCTTATCAGTGCCTACCTTATTAGACCAATTCATTCCTTATTGGTCACCCCGTGCCCTTATAAATCTCAACGCTTAACCTACAAAGTCCCATCACAAACAAAACAAAATGCCCGTATTGAACCGGCTGTACGCCGTACTGACCTGAAAACTCAATTTCCCTGTACAATACCGGTAAACCGTAAGCTTTAACATGTATGCGACAGTGCGTAGTTTGAAGCAATGAGCACGTTTTTTTTCAAATCCTGTGCCTGTCAACATTTGTCGATTGGAAAATCACGTGATGGGGAAGTGAGAGTCTAGATTTGAAGCTTTCGTGACTGCAAGGATCCATACTCTTTGGTTCTATTCGGTTAAGTCACGTAGGTAAAAAATAAAACAAAAATCACGTTTCGGCCACAGCACGGTCCCCTTCACCTGATGAAGGCCACTTGTGTTGTGGCTGAAACGTCGTGATTTTTGTTTTATTTTTTACCTACGTGATTTTACCGAAAAGAACCAAAGAGAAGTGAGAGTCCTCCGTCTGGCCTAGCCAGCGTGAAATAGTAGGCCAAACACTCTCAATACGGGTTCTGGAGCTTCTTCCAAGTGGAAGCTCTTCTGCCAGCAGTGGTATGAGCAAGCCACTGCAGGGCTGCATCATGAATCCGTTTAACCAAATTATAGCAGCCCACACATCCTTTGGACGTGATCATCGTCCGTGCCTCCAGCCAGCCAGCACTTTTTTTTACAATACATGGTAAAAGTACGCGTCATTAAACGTGGCCCTCCGGCCACCCATGCACCCCCTCCTCCCCTCTGCGTGCTCGGTGGTGCTTGGCCTTCGATTAGCATGGTTGGCTACGTACGGTGCGAAAGAAGTTCAACACACATACATAAAAAACGTGCGCTGGGTGGTGCGTGGCCAGCCAGAAGAAAAAAAAACACTTTTCGAAAAAAACTTACGTTTAGTGAAAGTTATATTTGATTAGTTTCACAATTTATGAATTGCATTTAAGTCAATTGACAAGGAACACATTAATTCAGCCACCATTTTGACCATGTATTCTCACTTGTACAGTTTTGCCATCTCTTTTGCAGTCATAACATGAGCATATATTTTATAAATTAGAATAGCAAGTACAGTAATTCAATCTTGCACTCAAAATTCCATTTGTATCGAGAGCGAAAGGATTGATTTTAATCAATTATTTTAAAATATATATAAGTGCTGAGTTACCTTGCATGAAAGCTTCCTCAAACTTTTACTTGAACTCATGAAGCAGCGAGCCACCTGAATTTCTTTTTTGCCATGTATACAGCAATAGATCTCATGTTGACTTTCTAGACACCAAGGAGATCGGCGTTTCACACTTGAAAAAAGTAAAACGTCGGCAGACTGGAATATCCTCACGTTGTGTACAAAACACTTTTATTATTATTAATATTCAGAGGACACGTGTAAGCCGCAGAGTTGTGCATCGTTCTGTTCAGGCAGAAGTCAATCGTTGGTTATCGCAGCAGTAAAAACTTGGCGAAGAGTGGCGGCGGCGGCGGTGGTGGTGGGGGCCAGCGTCAGCATCAAAGTTGTCTGATCCAGATCTTCAGTTGGTAAGGGCAACAAGCGCCTCCACCACATTACCCATGTGCTCGCGTAAACTCCTCTCGGCCGCTGTCCGCCCAATCTCCATTTCGTTCATCTACACACGCACCCGTGCGGCACAAAGACAAAGACCCCCCCCCCCCCCCCGTTCAGACTCGGAGCCTGTTCGGACAGAGTGATGTTAGCAAGCATAAATAAATCCAGCACAGCTCACAAGGGAGTGACGTGGCCCATACCACGTCCATCCATATTGATTTATCCAGTGCTAATGGTCACAGACTGCACCAGGTACCAATTAAGTACCAAGTCAAATGAGTTCAGGTAAGTGAGGGCAGGGAGCGTATACCGTAAGTGTGAGTATAGATGTACAGTACAATGGCATTTTCTGCAATGCTTTCTGCTGCCCACTATATAACCTCGCAGCCTATAACAACCTGTTAATGCAAGGTGGTTGCCCAACCAAAAACTTTCCAGGCTGTTGATATGACCATCACACCACATATCAGAGCCAATTATTAGTTATATTAAAGACACCATGAAGACAAGTGGAGGTGTGGTCAGATGCATACATGCATGGCTGCATTGGTCTTCCCCTTTGCTACCTTCACCACACCACAATAGGTGGTCATATTGAGTTCAATTTCCATTTGCTACTGATGTGCATGAACAGGAATCAAACCTGCCAAATTCTGATTGAGGCAGTGTGTCAATTAACCACTATGATACCACACTATCTGTACACATCAACGGCCACTTGAGTGTAAGTGCATCAGTGTGACTGCCAAGCGCATTCTGAAGCCACAAAACATGATAAAAACACATACATAAATCTAATTATTTTATTCTTAAGTTAACAGAAATGAATAACATATGACCATCATATAATTGACGAACACCCTTTAAAATCTATTACGTGTTTGTTTTAAATAAGTGAAAGCCTCGTCACTCACGATTAATTCTACATCTTCTTTCCTGATCGTAACCTTGGCCAGTTCATTCTCTCTGCAGAAAATATCATAAGGAAATTAATACAATGGACCAACATTCATATGGGCCTTTGAATCAGTACCATTTTAGTAAATACACAATGAATATAGTATTCATGGCACAAAATCACTGCAAATCCACTTTAAATGAAGCCTCATGTGCATGACAACTGGTATCAACATATTTTTGAGCACGTGTTAGCATTAACAAGCCTACATTTTCCACACATTTTATGGGAATTTAACATTTTAGATGTGCATTGAGCTGGATATGATGGCGCATCCCTGTATCCACTGCATCGCACAGATTTGTTGAAACTCCCAAATCCACTGGATTGCAAGGTGGACAGATGGCAGTAAAGCAAATGAGTTCCCGAACTGTACAGAGTTTTGAGCGTTATCTCCTCGTACGCGTGGGTTTTCTGAAGGCAATCCAATGTCCTCCTATATGCAAAACACTCAAATGGAATTGGCCAAACATTCCATGGTGGGACTTTGCTAAAAAAGAAAATTGGGTTTTGAGACTGAAGCAAGACTTCCTAGATGAAGGCCATTGTTATTATAACAATATAATTGGACACATTAAGTTTACCAGTGTCTTGGCCTGCACCCTATCAAAAACATATGGCTGCTAATTTATGAGCAACATTCACAAAATGCCATGTTACGAGTAATTTTTCACACATGTAGATGTTTACTACATTACACTTGCACGTGTACAGCACTTTTTGCAAATCCACTGCTGGGCAAAGGCTACTACATGCATGGTGGGAGGGGGGGGGGGGTTATTTCACCATACTTTTACAAACTAAAGTTTAACATGATTAGTGCAGCGTAGTAACAAGAGATAATCAATCCCTGCATGGTGTAACAATCGCAGCACTCACCTCTGTTGCTTGGCGGTCTGTTCCTTCGATCGCCTGTCACCGATCACTGACATGGCCTGCAAATGTGACAGCACACAAACCCCTTAAGTTAAAATTTAACCACCGACAATTGTGCATGTATGGCCCTGTGTTATGCCACTGCTGAACGAGGGCGATGCCACAGTGCGAGTCGCGAGGGTATAATGACCATACTTCACCACGCTAGTCAGTGCAGACTGGTGAAGACGGGGGGGGGGGGCATATGGAACAATGGATCTTGATGCAATGTCTTTTGCTCTCCAAAAGGTAGCCAACTTAAAATGTAACATTCAGAATTACCAAGAGCAACAAAAGCAGTCTTCCCACATTCGCATCTCACTCTCCGCTGCTTTCCAATCGTCTTCCCCCTTGTCCAAGTCTTCTCTATCACGTGGACCGTGTCTTCATAGCTCATCACTGTTACATTGCATTTATGGATTTATTTTGGTGATTTCGAAAACGTTTTTGTGGTTTGGCCATGTTTTTGTTTATTGTAGTACGGAGTTAGACTGATGGCCTTAATCTTAGTTGTCTTGTGGTTGTTGTTGTTTGACTTGCATCCCACTGGGATTTTTGCACACAGCGTTGGTGTACGATGCTATTTCAGGAATATTTTGATGTTTTTTCCTGGATTTTCTGTTTGAACAGTCACATAGTCACTTTAAGATGTTTTCTTGTTCATGTTTTTGCTTTTTTGTTTGTTGCGGTTGCACCCGATTCAAGAGCCGAATGGCTCACAGGGCTATACCAAATAAATGGAACTATGATCTCTCCAAATGACCATTTCCTATTCCACCAAAACCCCTCTCCTAAGCACTTTCTACCCACTTCCTCCTCTCCCAATAACCACCGATCATCCTCCCAGTTCCCACGTTTTCGCTTCTCACTGAATATCTCCCACTCAAACTAAACTATTTTTAAATTAAACTTTTTATTTTACCAGGTAAGGCCCACTGAACTATGTAGCTTTTTTCGGGATCGAAGCCAGGACCTCCCTCATACCAGGCGAGGTAGTTAACATCTCGCCACCGCGCCACTCACCTCGTCCACCCGATTCAAGAGCCGGATGGCTCACAGGGCTATACCAGAATAAACTGAACTGAAACTCCCCTCCTCTCCCACTCACCTCGTCCATCCCCCTCCCGCTCATTCCCCTCCTCTCCCACTCACCTCGTCCATATCTCCCACTCACCCCCTCCTCTCCCACTCACCTCGTCCATATCTCCCACTCACCCCCTCCTCATCCCACTCACCTCTTCCATCCCTCCCGCTCATTCCCCTCCTCTCCCACTCACCTCGTCCATATCTCCCACTCACCCCCTCCTCTCCCACTCACCCCCTCCTCATCCCACTCACCTCTTCCATCCCTCCAGCTCATTGCCCTCCTCTCCCACTCACCCCCTCCTCATCCCACTCACCTCTTCCATCCCTCCAGCTCATTCCCCTCCTCATCCCAACTCAACTTCGTCAATGTCTTCCCCCCCCGCCCCGCCACTCATCACCGACTCATCTCCCCACTCCTCACGTGCCCCACGTGCGCGCGCCGCGCCGCGCGCCTCCCGGATGCCACTCACGCTCTCGAGGCTGGACGCCGAGATCTCCTTGTCCTCGGCGTAGTCGGTGACCTTCTCGAGGTCCGCCGCGCCGCTGTCATGCTTGCGGGGCTTCTCCGCGGGCTTCTCGTCGTGACAGTTCTCCTCCGCGTCCAACTCCAGGTCCGCCTCGCCCTCCGCCATGCTGCCCATCGAGCTCGCGCCGAGAAAGGACTCGGTGACGTCACGCGAGCCGCTGCGTGACGTCACGCGCGGGACTCCGACGTTTGTGACGTCACGCGCGCGGGACGGCGATTTTTTTTTGACGTCATCCGGCCCCGCGATGATTGTGGGGGGGGGGGGGATTTCGTCACACACAACACACAAAAAACACAAAGGGCCGCGGACGTGACGTCATCGAGATGGTCGATGTACATGCGGTATATTCTTGGTTCTTTCGGTAAAGTCACGTAGAATGGAAACAATGAAATAATACAAATATAAAACAATAAAATTCTCACGACGTTTCGACTGCAACACAGGCAATCATCATCAGGTGTGAAAACCACAACAAGAACATTTGAAAAAAGTGGTGTTTCTTAACGTTAGCACCACGGATAGCGATTTGACAGGTTGTTCAGATGGACAAGTCCATCTATGTTTGGAAAAGAGGAAGGGGGAAACGCAAAAAAATAATGGATGCGGTCTTAAAGCCACACATAGCCAGTGAACTCAAGCACGTACACCAAGCTCTTAAGGCTAATGGTTACTCCGACTACACAATCCGCAAAGCTATCACTCCAACCATGAAGAAGGACCCTCTTGAGGAGCCTTTCAAAACCATCACTTTACCCTACATTACGGGGATCACAAAAAAGATCTCCAAAATCTTGAATAAACACAAGATCCAGGTTCGATTCAACACATTAAATAAAATCCGTGATCTGGTTCCGTCTGTAAAAGATGTGATTCCGGACATACAGTACCCTGGCGCCTACAAACTAAGTTGCCTCTGTGGTAGTAGTTACATTGGAGAAACCAAACGACATGTCTCGGACCGCATTCGTGAACACAAAGCAGACCTGAAACACGGTAGGACCAACACCTCGGCCGTAGCAGATCACTGTTATAATTCAGTAGGTTCGCATGACATTGACTTCTCCAAGACAGAGGTTCTTTGCAGGCCATCTGGCTACCATGAGAGATTCGTTCATGAGGCTATCCACATATACAAACACAGAGACAATTTCAACCGAAAAGATGGATTTTGGCTTAGCAATCATTGGAAGGATTTGATAAACCATTTCGGGTCTTAATTGATTGATCACGCTTAAGGTGGGTTTCAGACCGCATCCATTATTTTTCGTCTCCCCCCTCCTCTTTTCCGAACATAAATGGACTCGTCCATCTGAACAAACTTCCAAATCGCTCTCCGTGGTGCTAACGTTAAAAACCCGCCACTTTTTTCAAAATGTATTGTTGTTTTCACACCTGATGATGATTGCTTGTGTTGCAGTCGAAACGTCGTGAGAATTTAATTGTTTTATATTTTTATTATTTTATTGTTTCCCTTCTACGTGACTTTACCGAAAGAACCAAGAATATGAATCCCTGTAGTCACGAAAGCTTTAAATCAAAATGTACTTGCAGTAGTTATTCTATGGTTCTTTCGGTAAAGTCACGTAGATATCAAATAGAAAAATTAAAGTGAATAAAAAAATAATAAAAATAGCACGTTTAGATCGCAACACAGGCAATCTCCTGATGACGATTGTTTGTGTTGCGATCGAAACGTCGTGATATTTGTAATCTTTTATATTCACTTTATTAGAATTTTTATCATTTTATAGTTATATTTGTTTCTATCTATGCGACTTTACCGAAAGAACCATTGAATATGACTTCCTGCAGTCACGAAATACATGCAGTAAGTTAGTGTAGTTTAATGTTGCACAAAATTAAATATTGCTCTTTGGCTCTCCAACACGCCGGTGTGTTGTTGAACTCGTAACGAATTGGCACGTTTTGTTTACGTGACAAACCTGTGCCGGGTGGTGGCGGGTTTAACGACACAATATATATTTACCGCGATTTTAAAAAAAAACCTGCGTTATGGACAATATTGGTCGCGAAAGTCTACGTGTTAAACCGCTATGAAGTTCTCCTGCATCAGTAGAGAGAGAGTAGACGCCGTCGCTGTGCGCGAATTCAGGGAGTGTGCTGCTGCCCTTCAGACAGCACGCGATGCAGAACACGCGTGTGGTTTTTTTTGAACGAATTAAAAAATCGCGTTTCCTCACCACCTCCCCCCCCCCCACTCTCTCCCCCCCCCCGTCTCTCCCCACGTTGCTGCCGCCTCCCAATTCCCCCCGCCCCCCAACTCCCCCCTCCGCCCCCCCCCCTCTCCCTTCGCCTGCCGGGCACCCGTAGACTCTGCCGTGGACCGCCCCCCCCCAACCCGACCCCTCCCACCCTCCTGCAGACGATCGGCGGCCGCTTTGGCGCGCGCCCTGGGAGCTCCCTCCGAGAGGCTTCGCAGCGGCCTCCATTTCACGGGACGACGACGCCGCCGACGACGCCGCCGCCGACGCCGCCGCCGACGCCGCGGGCTGCCATCGAAGAACCAAAACGAAAAATCGCTTCGCCATTAATACAGCGACGCCTCGGAGCGGTGGGTTGGGGGAGCAACGCGAGGCGAATCTCTGGCCCGTCGCAGGCCACGGTGCTCGCGTTGTCGTTCGCATCGGGCAGCAGCAGCAGCAGCAATCAGTCGCTTGTTTAGCGAGTCGCGGCCTAGAACCCATCCGCTGGTCACCACCAACCCACCCGGTCTGGACTAAGAAAACCCTCGTCACTCCTCCTCCGCGGAGCGAAGGGCCTCCTCGCAGGCCGGCCGAGCGACCCCTGGGTCCCGGCGAACCGGAGCGGGGCTTTTCCTCCGGCGAACGAGGCTTTGCGGCTCGAAGCGGACGGCGATGGCACGCGAGTACAAGCCCGGCGACCTGATCTTCGCCAAGATGAAGGGCTACCCGCACTGGCCGGCACGGGTGAGTAGTTGGTGGTGGCTTTTGTTTTTGTTTCCGTGTGCGGCTTTGGGGTGGGCAGCTTCTCCTCCCGGTCAACTCGCCGCCTCGACGTCTCGCGCAGTGCACTCGGCCGTCCGCGTTCGCGACGTCTCTCGCGCACGCGATGATTGCACAAAGCGGACAAAACGATTCCGTGTCATGCCCTGCCTCGTCCGTCCGCCACCTCTCATCGCCTTCCTCCACTCGCCCCCCCCCCCTCCAGGCCTGAGGAGTTGTGAATCTCACGCCAAGCGCGTGCCAATGGCCCATCTCAATGTTGCAGGTTTTTAGATTGAGGGCTCGTATGTCGCAACGTTTGCATTTGTTTGCAGGCGTGTAGGAACGATTTTGAAATGTTGGTGTGGGGGGGGAGTATCATAAGGGCTCCCATAAAGAATGTTCTTTAAAGGGGGGCACGGAGTATACTGAGCCGTTAGTTCCCCCCCCCCCCCACACGAGTCAAAAGTTTTGAAGGCAAACGCGCGTGTTTTATTTTGAAAGTGTATTTCGTGCTGACTAACCGTAACCTTGGAATTCCTTCCCTTCAGATGATGATTGGAAGTCACGTACGCTCCTTGCGGAACATTGGTCGTTTCCGAGTGGCACGTTCGCGCGATTGATAAACGAGCGTAAACAATCTTAACAATCCCCTTGTAGGTACGCACCCAGAGACCGCGAACTCTGGGGCTGTCAGATACGAGTTGATGGCTTGCGTTAATTGAGAATAAACGCACGTTCAAGTCACGAGAGCGTCCTGTGGATGCGCCTGAACGGGACTCGTGTGTGTTTTTTTTCTTATTAACAGCTTCAAATTCTTGTTTGGACAGCTTCGCCGCCAGCAAAATAAGAGCTGTTTGCTCAGGGAGCATTGTCTAAAAGCCCCTTGTCAACCCACTGCTGCACGAGGTCCCTCCCCATTCTGAGTCGCGCGCGTTGCTTGACCATACTTCACCACGATGGTCATTGCAGTTTGAGGGGGGGGGAGGATTGGGACAGAGGGAAGGATTTTAGCCGTGGCCGGGAATTGGAACTCGGGTAGCCGAATTCATCGTGAAGTGTGCAAGCTATTGCGCCAACCACTGCTACTCGTTTGGAACGGTATCTTTTTTATTATTATCACACGCTTTTATTTAACTCACTCTGTTGTCGTATCTTCAAATCTTGTAACTACATTTTAACCCACTTCCCAATGTGGTATCGACTGTAAACTTCGTATACTTATGTCTTACTGCTGACAATACTATATTCTATCATTAAAAAAAATATCAAATATATTTTTACACGCTTTCTATTAACTCACTGTTGTCGTATCAAATCTTGTAACTCAATTTTAACCCACTTCCCAATGTGCTATCGACTGCAAACTTGGTATACTTATGTCATACTGATGACAATACTATATTCTATAAACAAATATATTTTTAAACCATCTTTTTTAAATGTTATGTTTCGGCTTGGGGCTAATTGTCCACGCTCAACTGACGTTGGCTGTAAATCACCACGGTCCCTTTATGGGAAGCTTCGGGGCCACTTCCTGGGGTCGTGGAGTTTTTGCCATTACGAGTACGGTACATTTCATTAAAGCGTGTTTTAAAAACAGTATTTTGAAATGTTACTTATTCAGTATTGTATAGCGCAGCAGTGTACTGGGTTCGTTTTCACAGTCTCATCAGCAAGGCATGGCTGTGTTTATGAATGCACTTTGTACTGTTTATCAATCGGCTTTTTTTGCTGGCACAGAGAATTGTAATATAATTAATCGGCCTTTGAGCCTTCTTTCGTATTAAGGGTTTGCATTACCCTAGTTAATTGTTTGGCCCGAGATTGCTGTAGTTCTGCTGGACATCTGTGAAATACTGGACAACTGTGAAAAAAGAAAGATTTATAGCTCATCGGATTGCTCCAGTAAAAATCTATATTTTTATCCTGAGTTGATGAACACTCGGGCCCCATGTCCCCGTGCTAAATTGAACAGGCGGTGCTGAGCCGATGGCTAAAATTCAACATTCCTTTCGTGGGGTACCATTGTCTCCTTTGGAAATCCACTGTCAACCACTCAAAAAGTGAAACTCAATTCATCATTCTGTCCAAGTTTAATCCATAATACGGACCCATATCTCGCATGCGTTACCCTACCCTGCGCATAGCAATGAATTGGGACGTTTATATTCATCCAATGTCGCGATTGTGTATGTCTATGTTGCATGCAACTACAGCAACATCTGCTGTACTGTTCTGCAATATATCAGATCAGCAGCGAGTGATATATTTGCATTGACAGTCTATGCGTATACAGCAGTGTCCACAGTTCACAATGGGACAGGCTATGTGAATAATTTTAAACGCGTTTTGTCCAAGTGTAACTCTTAATGAACCCTTTACAAATAAACGTGTGAGTGCGATGTACGTTTGGGGAGCAGTATTGTCAATTGAAAGATGGATAAATGATGTGAAGTGCCAGACCACGACGTCGAGTTGCATTCTCATGGTGGGGAAGAAGCGCAGGACCATGATGCCAATGATGACCGTAAGCTGGGGGGGGTTCAACAATATGACGACGATATATCATGTGATACAAGGTCCACGATAATCTAATTTGTTTATATTGTGATTTGCTTTGCTTGTTCGTTTTTTCCTTAAATATTTAATTTCAGGGCAAAATATTAAATAATGTTGGGAGTTAAGTTCACAGTAATAGCTCACGTTTAGAAAAAAAATAGCTATTCGCTATTAAATTCATATTTTATATGTGTACGTTGAATTTCCTTCGCACCCTACGTAGTCAACCGTGCAAACCTGAGTAATTAGACTTGATTATGCTTATATGACGTAATACATTATATTAGTTAAATTTACTTATTGGGTCTTGTGTAACTTACGTTGTGCATAGTTATAAGCGTGATAAGTTTATGTTGAGTGAACTGCAGTTAAATAACGTTAAGTAACCTTGATTGGTCATAGATGTTCTGCAAAGGACAAACAAAACAATAACATTCTTAAATACAATTACATTTTAATGGCAATCGTCATATCGTGAAAAAAAATACAAATCTTTAAAATGATAGTGTAAACATAAACATGGCAGTGACTCGTGCATTGTGGCAACTCCAGACATGACTGAATAGAATATATCCTTAGTCGCGTTTTAAGTTCGTGTTATGATCTAGAATGTTTACCAAAGTGGCACAGATTTAGAGCTATAAATACATTGGCAGCAAATTGTGCTATAGCCACGTGATAACACAGCAGCAGGCTTTTGTTCAGTGCGTGCTCTTAGCTGTGTTGTGTGTATGTGTGTGTGCGCACCGGCAGATCGATGAAGTGGCAGAGGGAGCGGTGAAGCCTCCGTCCAGCAAGTATCCCATCTTCTTTTACGGAACTCACGAAACGTGGGTATTACCTGTTGGACTCGGAACGTATCTTTAATAATAAACACTCTCGTCACTCTCTCTCTCTCTTTACCCCTCCGATTTTTTATTGAAATATGCAAGCCAGGCAAGATGATTAAAACCATAAGTGTGCGACTAACAAGCTTGACTGTTACCGTATCAAGCGCCTCGCTCAAAGCAGAGTAACTTTATAATGCGGTCATATTTGGTAGCTAATTTGTGTGTGCTCAATCTGCGAGTGTGGGTGGGGAGAGTGTTGTGGTGAGTAGGGCACTCCTGCAGTATTCAACCACCGGGGTTCGATTCCTGGCCATTGACATCACTGGTAGAAATATGTAGATTAAACTGGGCTGAGCTTCAACAACATAAACTCGGCCTAAAATGATCACCCCTCTTGCATTGTGCCAGCCTCAACAGACTCTCGCGAACCAGCACGTTTACTTGGTCTAACCAAGAGAATAAAGGATTCCTACGTGTGTACGTATGTGTTCGCTAACAGCACTGGCCCCAAAAGTCTGTTAAGGCTATATGGGGGATCTTTGTCTTTCTTTTTTTTGTATGTGTGAGACAGGGCCTTTCTAGGTGTGAAGGATATATTCCCATATCTCCAGACCAAGAACAAGTATGGCAAGCCCAATAAGCGCAAGGGCTTTAACGAGGGCCTCTGGGAGATTGAGAACAACCCCAATGTCAAGTTTTCCACTCTCAAGGTTTGTAGCTTGGTGTGAGTCATTTGTTTTGAAGGCAAAGGACGTGTGCCTATTTGTGTGTTTTTTTTACTCAACCGTTTTATCGATGACATGTATTTAACCAGGTTTCTTGTCAAATGTTTGTTTTTGTGAACACAATTCTTAACTCCAACAAATTATGTTAGATAGAACACTTTTTTCGTATTTTTTGTGCTTTCCACAAATTTGTTCAGTGCATTATTTCTTCCTGGGATTAACGCCTTAGAACATTGATGTGCCAGGTTATTAGCATTGCTTTGCGTATCAGGCCAAACACTTTAATTTAAGCTGCTCACTGGTGCACCATTATAGATGACAGTGTTATTACCAATGCAACCCTCTCCTCGACCCCGCGACGTAATTCCATCAAACGTTCCCTCGCATCTGCCAGCAGAGTTCAGCCCCGTCGGAGAGCGGCAGTGAGGCCAGCGAAGCGGAGGGCAGTGAGCCGTACGGGGGGCGGACGTCCCCACCGGTGAGAGACAGCAGCGAAGGAGAGAGGGCGCCATCGGACCTGGAGGAAGTGGACGATTCTGGCACTCACGACAAAGTCCCACCACCGCCTGCCAAGCGTAAAAAACCTGAAGTCGTCTTGGATGTGGTACGCGACACGTCTGACATAATCCTGAAAAAATACCTAAATATTTCGCCCTTCATCATTGGTCCTGGCTTATTATGGAATACTATGTAGAATTGACCCAATATTTCAAGTAATGGCCTATCGTGAGAGTTGTATGTTTGAGTAGTACTGTGTGTAATCACATATCTTTGTTATAAACCCGCACGAGTAGTGAGTTTTGTGCTGTTCGCCACTGCCAACGAAGCCACCTATTTATTTTTCCAAATTATTCTCCATTCGCGTCATAAGTGCCACGTGGCAAGGCGAAGACATTGTCATTTGGAATTTTCAAAGCAAGCAGTACACCTATTTTGTGACAAAGAATGGCCCTACGAGATGTCATTGCTTCTTCATTTAATTCATTCGGGCTCTACACATGTGGTGTAGTGTGCTTCTAGTGATCTTCAGTGCATGTTATATTGCTAGAACATTTAAGTAAATAATGCTTCACAGGACACAAGTGAACATGTCGGAGCAAAGAGTCAGCATGGCTGTTAAAATTACCTATCATTTGTGGCCAGGTCGCTTCTGACAAAGCTATATAGCTCAGTGGGCCTTACCTGGTAAAGTAAAAACAGTATGGTAGAAAATAAAGCTATGTGAAGTGTGGTCCAAAGGCCCTGGGTTTTGCCCGTTCATAATTTCACTGTGTCTGTGCGAGCGTCACTAAGCGAGCGTTCATTTGCACCTTCAGCCGGCCAAACGAGTGAGGCGTTCGTCTAGCGAGGAGGCAGGAGCTGCGGAAAGCGGTGCGGAGATGGAGGAATTCCCCGAGGCTTCTCGGAGCCCCTCGGGCTCGGAGTACGAGGAGGAGAGTTCTCACGACTCGGACAAGGGCAGCGACGAGGTAGATATGCCATTGCCCTCCTCGTGGCGTTGCATTTTTATGTAAAGCTGCTTCAGCAATGCCACTTCTGCCAGCTGACCATATTCAAAGGAGCGTTCCAGCTGAGGTTTATAGCTTTCATGCATTAGCACTGTCCGTCTACCTGTAACAAGGGGGCATGATAACTTAAAGGTGATCTTCAAGGGACACATGGTGAATATAAACAAAACCTCAACATAATGTTGTGTTAAAACTGTCAAAATTGATCAAAAGGTGTTCCACGCCCTTCCCAGTAGAGCTGCTGTCTGAGCCCACTGTTTCATCCTGGTCTACAGATGTCTTGTGCCTGGCGCGAGCTAGAATATTATTATAGTTATATATGTTTCAGGACAACTGCATATTTTGGAAAGCATTACAGGCTTGATACATTTGCACAATTTTTCTTTGTTTTATTTTATAGATTTTGCTCATTGGATAAAAATATGTTGACATTACATATACACAAAAGTAATGTTTAACATTAACCTTGCCTTGCAGTCTACTTCCTTCATGATATTTATTACACCTAGTAGCCCTGAATGTTACGTGTGTCATGCACACGATTGACCTGCCAACCCCTCCTCAAAAACAATGTACTAGAGTTATATAGGTAAGAAAGGGGGGAGGGGCAAGGGGGGGGGGGAGAGAGAGAGGAGGGGGGTGTGGAGCAGGGGAAGGGGGGCTGCATGAGCGCTAGGGGGAGAAGAAGTGAGGCTGGGGGCAGAAGTTGGCGAAGCTAGAAGTGGGAAGCTGAGTGTGGGACACGGGGGGAAAGTAACTCGGATAAATCTACTAGTACCCAGCGGGTATGATGGAAACAACCACTATTAACCAGGTAAAGCCTTAACCAGGTAAAGCCTTAACCAGGTAAAGCCTTAACCAGGTAAAGCCTTAACCAGGTAAAGCCTTAACCAGGTAAAGCCTTAACTGGTTGTGGTTGTTTCCATCATACCCGTCGGGTACTATTAGATTTTTCCGAGTTATTTCCCCCCCCCCCCCCCGTGTCCCACACTCAGCTTCCCACTTCTAACCAGGTAAAGCCTTAACCAGGTCAAGCCTTAACCAGGTAAAGCCTTAACCAGGTAAAGCCTTAACTGGTTGTGGTTGTTTCCATCATACCCATCGGGTACTATTAGATTTTTCCGAGTTATTTCCCCCCCCCCCCCGTGTCCCACACTCAGCTTCCCACTTCTAGCCCCGCCTACGTCCCCCCCAGCCTCACTTCTCCCCCTAGCGCTCACGCCAGCCCCCCTTCCCCTGCTCCACACCCCCCTCCTCTCTCTCTCCCCCCTTGCCCCTCCCCCTTTCTTACCTATATAACCTTTTGCCACGGCAGCTCTCTCGCCTACTTCAGCATTTTTTTTTGCTGTGGTTGTTCCACCTGATGAAGATTGCTTGTGTTGCGATCGAAACGTCGTGATTTATTTTATTTTATTTCTACCTATGTGACTTTACCGAAAGAACCAAAGAGTATAGATTCCTGCATTCACGAAAGCTTCAAATCAAGATGAATGTACTAGAGGTGCGCGCCACTGCACTCCCAGTGTTCTACTCGAGGCAATTAACAAGTAGGCAATGTATTTCCTTTACAACCCCCGAGTCGGTTGTGATTATTCCTACTCGTGTTCAGGCGTTGCATTTTGGCGTAATGGTTTTGTGTTGTGTCCACCGCACAGGACTTTTCCCCAGAGCGGGTGAAAGGGGCGACGCGGGGTGGCCGAGCGAGCAGCGGCCCAGCGCGTGGGGGAAGGAGGAAGGTACAGAACCGCACCCTTGCCTTCATCTCGCATCGTCGCGAGCTTTTGCTCGCCCGCCATGTCGAGCGAGCTCGGTGTTGTTAAGCGTTCCCCCCCCCCCCTCCCTTTTTCCGCAGAAGTCAAAGTCCGTGTCTGAATCTGAATCGGAGGAAGCGGACGATTCCAGCGCTCACGAAAAGGTTCCGTCGCCTGACAAGTCTGAGAAGCCTCGTCCAGCCAGCTCGGAGAGCGACTCGGCCGAAGAGCCGTCGCTCGAGGTTTTTTCAAACCCCCCTGAGAGAGGTACCCATCACTGCCGCGTCACTGATAAAGCACTGCACAGTGCCGCGGCAGTGTTACTGTGGCCAGCTTGTTGATGGTCTACCACAGGCACGGAATGCCGCCACGCTTGGGGTTGCGTGCAGTGGCACCGTCGAGTTAACAGTCTTGTTTTTGTGCAGTCGTCAAAGCGGAAGAAGCTCCATAGCTGCAACTGAACTCATTTACTATGCGGCCAGTAGAAAAAGGAGGCCATCACTTGTTGTGTAGTATGAATATTTATATAAGAAAGCCTTGAGGAATTGGAAGACTTTTTCAGGAACATCCTACATTGGGATGTTTTGACCCAATTCTTTGGTGGGTTATCTCCTCGATGGGATAATACTTAAACATGCACACACATGATGTGCTGCCATCTGTTGGGTATCTAGTTTCACAAGTTGGGAGTCTTACAGCATACGACCTTTAGGTGCCCCACCAACCTCACACATGCGCCACCACGTCGACTCTATTTTACAACCTTCCTACCTTGCAGCCCCATGCACTCGGTTGGCATTCGCACTTAAAGTGGGCCAGTGTCATTGTGTGTTTGTTTGAGTGCTGAACACAAATGCTCACTTTTTGTTATTGTCTTCCACAGTAGTTGAAAAGAAGGCTCCAGCAAAGCCTCGTCCCAGGAAGGTGGAGAAGCCGCCATCACCCGTCTCGTCTGACTCCAGCAGCGAGAGGTGAGAGCATCACCGTGTGATGGGACCTGTGACGTATTGTGGGAGCACCGGGAGCCGGGGAGAGTGAATATTTTGTTCAATCAAGGGACGCTTGCTCAGAGAAAAACCGCATCTGTAATAGTTTTATGAGAAATAATCGGCATCATCATTATCATCGGCCATTTGCATATCCGATTAGCATGGTTGGCTACGTACGATTCGAAAGAAGTTCAACATACATACATAATTAATCCACTGTGTATTGATGGACTCCCCAAGATGTTGCCACCTTTAATGTTTTTGCGATGTAATAATTCATCTAGCACCACACATGAGTTGATTTCATCGCTCCATCTCGCATTAACTTACGATTGCCAGTGGGGAAACTATGGTTGGTGGTCAAGATTCACGTCGAGAGTGGCAGCCAACGCATGGAACACGCCCATGCTGAGGTTCACTGCGGAGATGGAGCGATGAAATTGGCTCGTGTGCAGTAGCTAGATGGATTGTAGTATTGCAAACCGGGAGAGATGGTGATGGACTCGATGAGTTATTCATCCATAAGTGGCTCGATCGTGGCTGATGATGATGATGGTAACACGTGCATAAGATGTGTTTGAGCATGCACTATACTATGTATGTATATCGAGTCTATATTTGTATTAATTTGCGGCTGCACCCCCTACGTGTGCATGCGCACGTTTGCGATCGGCACGTCCGCTCGCGTCCCAGCGACGACGGGGACCGCGTGAGCGAGTGGAAGCGGCGTGACGAGGCGCGGCGACGTGAGCTCGAGGAACGCCGGCGCCGCCAGGAGGAGGATGAGCTGCGCAGGATGCGCGAACGCGAGGAGGAGGACCGCCTCCGCGAGGAGGAGGAGAAGAAGAAGGAGCGGGACGATGTCAAAAAGGACAAGAAGGGCAAAGAGGACAAAAAGGACAAGGAGCCCAGGAAGGGGAAGAAGGAGGAAGTGAAGAAGAAGCCAGTGGAGAAAAGTCGACCGAAGCCTTCCTCGTCCTCCTCCGACTCCGAGGTGGAGGTGGGTGCTGCGTTGTTGCCACTCGCAATCAAAAGTGATCGTTATTTCACTCGAACAAGCATACTGTGTTGAATGGGTCCTCGGTGTGCACGCTTAAACAGATGGCTGCTGGAAAACATTGGTCTATAAGATGCTAATGTGCTGGTGGACCTACATGCTTTTATTTGTTATGTTTTAGTGGTAGGACATATTCTTGCGTGGATTTATGTACTTAGTAATTACAATGTGTTGCCCCACTCACATTGTTGCATGTGCCGACACTAACCGACTCGAAGGCTCCTGAGCAATTTATCTCGAATGCGTCTGCGGTGGTGGCAATGAGCCAGTGGGTGGTGACACCACAACCCGCTCTGCATCTTGTCATTTCATCAATCAGCCCTTGTCAAGATGACATCATCATGTACAAATTGAGTATCGGAGTATCACGTTTAATTTTCAGCGTCAATAAAATATCAACTACTAATCAAGTAAATCCAGCCATTGACCCATTTTATACCATTACAGTGCTTGTGTGGTTTTATTCTCCTATTCTACCCCGTAGTCTTTAACTCCCTAACCCATAAATATTTCCCGTTTAATCCTTGCTCCTATTCAACCCCAGGCTCCCAAGACCTTTTTTCCCTCTATCAATGACTGATTGCCTCTATCAAAAATCCACCCGTTCTGTACAGCGTCTTGAAATGCAGATGCTATATCACCATTAGCTCTATTTTCAGATTAGACGGTGCTCCTGCTACAAATAACCGCATAAATCAACTTAAATTGCCACTTTAATGACATCAGTTTTGAATACTTGAGATTCTTTTATTTGTGTATCCCGGTAGCAGGGGTGGTGGCTGGGGGCGGTGGGAGATGGTATGGGCTATGAAGTTGTTTGCCATGTCTCAGCGCCGTTCGGCTTGTGTCGCCGCTGCAGGTGAAGAAGGAGAAGAAAGAGAGCGCTCCTCGTAGGGCGCCGCCCAAAAGGCAGCCCGACCGCAAGCCGGCCAAGGAGAAGAAGTGAGCGGCCGTTGCCCGCTTACATTACACACAGTCAGCCAGCAGCAGTAGTAGATGTGGGTGTTCGTTTGCCCTGTATACACCCGAGTAAAAGCGCGAGACTGTGTCAGTTTAATGAATGGTAGGAAACAAAGCTGTCATGCTATCTCTCACAAGCCCAGCCCATACCCCTTGCACTTGAAAGTCAAGTTCTTGCTGTAGTTTCCAATACAAGCGTTCTCTGTATGATTATACCCTAACAAGTACAACGGTAACCCTAGAAAGTGTAGCTGTGTCCGTAACAAGCTTAGCCCTAAATCTGACTATAAAAACACATACTGACATCTTAATTACCTAAACAAGAACAACTCTAACCACAACAAGGTCATCAGAATCAGAATTGACCTCATCCTTAACAATGATAGCATTTTCCCGAACATACCAAGCCTAGGTTAATAATCCATAACTAAAACATGTGTTCTAACCCTAGCAAATACACGGCATTCAAAGACCAGTTTTTACACAATTTCAACTCTTACACTCCCCCTTCACAAGTCTAGCCCTCGTCACTAACCCAGGCACTCGAATAATTGGGGAACAACTGCATTTCTAGATATCGTGGATCGTATGTCCCCATTGCCAAGTGTATTGAGAACCTGACCTGCAATGATGCGGAACGCCCTGGCTGTCATAATGACGGCAAAAACTAAGGCTGCATCCTCCCGTCATGAGCTTCTCGCCCCTCCTCACTTCCTGCAGGCAGCTGAAGGAAGAAGAGAAGGAGCGCAAAAAGCAGGAGAAGCTGCAGCTAAAAAAGGTGGAGAAGAAACGAGGTTGGTGTTTTGATTTTCACTCCCATCTTAGTTGCCTTTGCAGGTCATTTTGACCGGAGTGGTACCCTGTGAGTTATTTGTTGATTGAATCAGGTTAAATCAGTCACATGGATTATTAGGAGACAACATGGACCCTTGATGCGTCGTGCCACACCGTCGGCGATTTATTAAGTTGTACAAATGTAGAGTTGGAATGCTAATGGTCGTGTATAAAGTTCGCTGTGTCTTTGGACCCCTTCTTCGGAGAGTCCTGCATTGACTTATTCAATAAATAAGCTATATTTCCAAAAACAATGGACAACTGATGACCGTTTGTGTTATGGTCGAAACGTCGTGAGAATTTTTATTGTTTTATATATATTTTATTGTTTCCCTTCAACGTGACTTTACCGAAAGAGCTGAGAATATGAAAAATGTGTATTATTAAATTGATTAAAAAAAATTTACTTGGAAGTCGCCTAATTTGTGGAACGACATAGGACTACATTTATAATTATTGTTGGAGCTGCCCTTCATTACTTCTGCTCACTCCGCAGCACACTTAACCACAAGTTCTCCCCATGCTTCCAACAGAAATATCCATGGAGCAGCGGCTCAACAAGCTGCACGTGGAGATGAAGCTTTCGCTGAGCTACGCCAACCCCGTACGCATCACGTCACAGCGTCACAGCCTAGACTAACGTAGCCCTGGGGAATGATACTAGGCGCCGCTGGACTTGATTGCCTTCCACCAGACTTGGATACGCACCGAGGGATGGAATGATTCACCAACCCCCCCTGACGATTTGACAAATTGTCGCGATCCATGGTCGAAATAAAATTAAAAAAATACAAAATTTTAAATAACATAGGGGTCGTAAAACGATGGCTTGCAAGTTTGACGTTACGTGAACCCATTGCATGCAGTATTAATCTAAAACTAACAATTTTTACAAGTGGCAACTTAAGATGTGATGTTCATCGATGGATTGGTATGACTAGATACTTGACTGTCTACCAAGACACTTTTATAAATACCAATTCATGACTTTGCAGTGCACCACTAGGAACTTGGCTGTACACCAGCGGAGGCTCTGCTATGCTCCGTTAGAGAATTGGCAATGTATCAACAATGTATCAACAGTGTGTACTGCAGAGGTCGTGAAAAAACCCACCATGCCGTATGTACTGGAGTCTGATAAATATGCATTTGGACACTTGTCACTCGGGAGGGATAATGCTTTACTATCGCGCGTATTTCACCATGGCATCTTGGGAATTCTCGTTGAAATTTAACCTGGCTGCTTATAAGTATCCTGAGCTTGTAGTAGAACAAAGTGTAGTGCACACTCCAGGTAACGTCAGTGGCGAGTAAGATCTGAACCGGTCATGGGCGTTTCGCCACCAACCCGTACTGACCATCGCGATGGAGTAGTCAACCCCCATGACCGGCATGGCGTGGGGAGGCCTTAATCCAGTGGTGGGTTGACAAAGGATTGCATTTTTATACTTGTACGCCACGTGCACTTTTTAAAAGAACCTGCCTATGCTTGCAAGCAGTTGGGAAAGATTTATGTGATGTATTGCATTGGATACACTGGAAGTGGCTAACACGTCAAATCTTTTTTTTCTGCAGGACATTGTCAAATGTTTACAATGCATGGATGAGCTGGGTTCCCTAAAGCTGACGGCCCAGCTGCTGCACAAACACCAGGACCTCGTCGCCACCCTGAAAAAAGTACGTGTCGTTTGCTAGTCCACATGAAAAACACCTCACCCCCACCCTCTTTTACTACCACTGGCTTTTAAGAAACCATGATGGAATGACGTGGCCAGGTGGCTATTGATGGTTTCAGCCCAGTCACAAATAATTGCACAAAAAACATGTTGCATTAAATTTGGTTTTATACTTCATTTGGCTAAATTCCAGCGCTAAGGATTAAAAATATCAGAATTAGAATATGTATTTATACTGGAGGAATCCGATGAGCTATATAGCTCTTTTTCACAGTTTGTCATGTGGAAAATATAACTCCCAGTGACAGGGCAGGTTGGAAAGTGCTGCCATCTTATTTGTGGATCAGAGGTCCCTTCAAGAGATTCAGAGGTTGTTCTGTGGTATCTGCTTTTGTGGGCTGTTTTCTAACACAAAGTTCCACTGGTGTGTGAAAGTTGCAAATGGATACCTCGTCTCGTGACGTGACACCGACAGCATGATCAGGATAAATTTGTGCGAGGGACTTGACGAAATAGGCTTGATTCCCGATCACGGATAACATCAGTGACAAGTAATATCTGAACTGGTCCTCGGCACCGCCTTCACCAACCCATGTTGGTCAGCATGGTGAAATATCGTCAAACAGCCCCCATAACTGACATGGCGTGGGGAGGCCTTCAACCAACAGTGGATTGAAAAGGATTGAAAAGGGATGCAATTTATAATGTTTGCACACTACACAGATATTTTAAAAGCATAGACGACCAAGCTTGACCAAATTTGGATTATGCGTGACGGTGAAAAACCTGCATGCTAAAGGGTGTTTCTCGCAGTTATATTCGTATCTTGCGTCACAGTCCTGACAGGGCATTAAAAATAAAGGATCGTTTTTAGGGAGATTGTATTTCATGCAGTGGCCACGTCTCACACCGTGATGGTGGCTCGCCCCTCCCCCCCCACCGGTACAGGCGCGGCGGTATAAAGCGAACGAGGACGTCATGAAGAAGGCGACTCTCGTCTACAACAACCTGAAGAACGCGTTCGTGGGCCCCGGCGGTGGCGAGAGACCGGGCCGACCCAGCGGGGATCGGCTCAGCACCGACACCGCTCCGACGGCGGCCGAGGACGGAGCGGAAACGCAGAAGAAAAACGACGCCGGTCAGAAACGCAGCCGAGCGTGGCACCTTCACCACCACACCCTGACGCGCCTTACCCCTCGTCCTGCGTTTAGCAATCCTGCGTGTCACTTTTAACGGGGATGCAGGCTTACGATGATTTACCTGCTCATGTTATTTGATACGATTTGGGATGAGCACTTGATTATAGAATATTGTTTTTTGCATGTGTCTGCTCCCTTGAAATTTATTAATTTTCTGTCTCGTTTGTACTGTCTCACGGCCGGAGTGAGCGAAGTTGAGCGATGGACATTCAGGAGGCAGGCTTCCAGCACCGTTCTTTGGTTATATTTTGTTAGTCGCTCAACTTCGCGAGTTCCAGCGGAGAGTGGAAAGGTTCATTATAACGCCTCATTGTTTTTGCATTTTATGTTGTTACCGTCATGAGGTGGAGAAGATTTGAGTGTGAACGGGGCAATACAGAAGCAAGACATGGATGCGAGGGAGGAACAGACCCAAGATGCGATGAAGTCGGAGCAGCCCAAGGAGAGGTGAGTGCGTTTAAAAACCACTGCCAGGTTGGCACTCGAAAGACTCGCGCAGGAGATCAGCATCATTAACTCGCACCTTTATCGAATAAAGCAATCCTGATCACAACTTGCACATGGGCAATTCATCGAACACATCTACGTTGTAACGTGCATACGCACGTTACGACGTTGCATGCGTGTTCATTGTTGTAGGCCACGGCTTGCCAGTGTTGCAGAAAGTATTCGATGGTTGGACATGATTGCTCAAGTTTCACTTCTATGCTTGTTGGGGCCAGATACACCTCTTTGCAGAGCAGGATAAGGGATCGCTTTGGGTCAACTTGTCACTGTGTGTAACTTAGGCTTTGATGAAGGATAAGGATAGCATTTCATTTAAATACTGGTCTTTTGAAGTAGTGAGTTTGCCCACATAGTGTATGCATGGAAGCTACTGTTTGATTTAACCCTTTGTTGAGTTTACAAAGCATGGGAAAAGTCAGTGGCCTTGCCCTTGAGTCTTTTATCTACATGTAAGACAATACGGGAACAAATTTAGAAAATTTGAGTTGTAAGAATGTTGGCATTTTCAATGAGATTTAAAATATTTATTTGAAAGTGGCATTTCATGTTTGACAGTAACATTCTGGGAATGGCTGAAATGAACCAAAACATCTTAAATATTGTTAACTGACATTACACATAACTGTATACTTATGTCATACTTTATATTTATACGTTTTCTTTAAATATAAATTTTAAGAAATTGCCAGACAAGTGCTATATTTTAGGTCTACTGAATGTGTACCCGTTAAGTATTCCATATTCCACTACGTTGTCGGCATATCTGTCAGAATCTGTGGTATAGTTCCAGCCACACTGCACTGCAGTCCCAGCAACTCTGGACGTGTTCATTTGTTACAGTTGGACTAAACTTAGCCTGGGCACCTTCAAGGTCAACTCGGTCTAAAACAACCATTTAAAATGATTCGGTCATGGACGTGAGCACTGAAGAAAAAGGTGGTCAAGCGTGCCGTAGGATTTACCACCTCCTTGTTGCCATGCTGGCTTTACTATGTGCTTTCAAACAAAACTTTCATATCTCTGTGTGTCAGGGGTGACGTACTTGTGCCTCAGCAAGAAGGGCCTGGGTTCGACTTCTAACCTGGGCACCTTATGTGGAGTTTTTTGTTGATATTCTCCACTCTTCTTGCATGGGTTTTCTCTGGCTACTCTGGTGTTCTCACATAACAAAAGTAAATAAATTACAATGCAACTACTCCTGGCCAAACATCCAATTACTGAAATATTACCTGCGTACTACTCAATTGGGATGACACCACAGCAACATCCACCCCCCTACTGCAAATTCTTCGCAGGACCCTCGTGAAAAAGTATTGAGATTCAGTGAGGCCTTCCTGGCTGAACACGCATAATAATGATGTGCGTGTTTGTGTGTTTCTTATGTCAGCGCCCATCTAACACCAGCAGCAGGCCCTGTCGAGAAGCCACCTACCGGTGGGCCAGCTGTCGCCACATCGACGGAACCTGCGAACGGGAGCTGAGAAAACCGTGTCGTCTGCATTGCAACATTTGGCTTCGTCGCAGTTCCCTTGACATCACGCAAATCACACGCAGTCATGCGCACAACACTCGCGGGTATACGCGCACGTGACGCACACACCTGCTCGCCGCGAGAATACCGCGCGTTCTCCAGCCTCAACCTTAATGCTAGGTCTGCGCTACGTGATAATGACAAGCACTGTGGCAGGCAATGTTGCTACCATGGTCCTGCGCAGGGTGGGGGGGGGGTGGTTGGGCACCATTGTACAGCCACACGGTCTTTGGAAAAAAAAGTGTGGATTTTCCATTGAGAACACAATTATGCAGATTGTGGGTTTATTGTACTCACCTCTTATCATTGTGGGGAACTTTTGTTGTCCATTGTCCTTCTGCAGGCGTTGTCAAAAAGCCAGCTTTCTCCCACGTGTGCAGCAGTGGTTACCAATTCCCAAGGAGCTGCTCTCCACTAATGGCAACTGTGGTCCCACATGCACAGGGGGGGCTGGTTGGCAGTCAAAAGTCGAGTTGATAATGTAGTTTGTAGTCCGTCTTTAATTCTACCCATTACCATTATTTCGTCGGTACTGTATATGAAGTGAGCCTTAAGAAGTGTGGACGTGGGTATTTAGAAGCCACTGCTGTGACTAGTTAATAGAGAGACAGAGCGGGCCCAGTCCCCAGAATAAAACGTGACCCTAGGAAGAGGCTTCTTCAATGTGCTTCATTAGCCCAGCTGTGACGTGTGGTGGGTTTTTCGCAACCTGTGTTAAAGTGGAATGTCGCTGAGCTGATTACTGTGCAGTCTCCACCTCTCCTTGCATTGGGAGCGCTCCCTACATCTTTAATGGATTTCCACCTCGTGAAAAAGTTACATCAAAGCACAAGTGTGATCAAATAGCGCTGAAAGTTGGGCTGTAAACTGTGGATTGTTCACACCTCTGCGAACCAACAGGTGCCATTTATGACCCTTTTTTAATACCTTATGTATTTGATAACTCTTTGGACAACTGAAATTTAGTCTTTAACGGTTTTAAAAGCGTACACATTTAAAATTGTGAGTGGGGTGTTTCGCAATGCGGGGGCAAAGTGAGGCTGTGGCGGCTGGTCATTGAGTTGTGCCGTTTAACATCGGTACAAGCTTCTATGGAAGTGGCTGATGCAGAAAAGTATCTTCGTAATGCATCCGCCAATGCTGGAATTAAAGCCAATTGGTCTGGTAGAGACACAGGCGACCTGTGTGATATCTCCTGGAATTAATAAGAATCCCAGGCTTGTCGAAGTGAATTGTTGCAGCAGCTTAGCCAGCGAGTCCAGGATTTCCCGCTCGCTCCCGTGTGCATCCTTGCCAAGGCCACTGCTTCTCTAGTTTAGAATTGCAGTTATTGTAGGCACCTCGGACTGGCATTTCAGGTCTCCCTTATGTTAAGTTTTGTATGAATGTACCAGTGTGTAGCGTATTTCCGATCTCCCAATGTGTTCCGCTCCGCTTTGCAACGCCGTGTGCACAAGTTATTGTTACTGATAGAGAGTAGCCTCTATATGGTTATGGGCTGCAGACGCTCTACGTTTCACACAACGCGCACACGATTAGCAGGTTTTTTTTTTAAGACATTTGAAATGAATTGGAAAAAAATATATATCTGTGCTGTGCAGACTGTATTATGCCATGCGTGGATTATACTTCCAATTGGATTAATTTTATGGTGTAATTGGATTGGCCATTGATAATGTAACTCTTGGCTGTTTAGATGTGATGGTTTGTTATTTTTAATAATTTTTTTTATATATGTTGAGCAGTCTTAGTTCTGCAGCGAAAATCAGTAGGAACCTTTAAACACTTCTAGATTTAAAGCTTTCGTGACTGCAAGGATCCATACTCTTTGGTTCTATTCGGTAAAGTCACGTAGGTAAAAAATAAAACAACAAAAATCACGACGTTTCGGCCACAACACATGAAGGCCGCTTGTGTTGTGGCCGAAACGTCATGATTTGTTTTATTTTTTACCTACGTGACTTTACCGAATAGAACCAAAGAGTATGAACCTTTAAACACCTTAAAATGACTGGTACGGTGTTATAGTGAGGCCAGCGATTAAGAACGTTATTAATGCGCTGTTCGTAAAACGTTACTGCCTGCAGTTAAACGTTCAGACAGTTCAGAAATGCCTACCTTCAATATAACAAGCTGACCAAAAAGAAAGAGTATGATCGAACCAGTTTGGTTGGCTGGAATCTGTATCTCTTTAGGAAGTTTTAGTCGTTAACCCATTGAGTTTTTTTTATATTTTCCATATAAATTGGTGTAAATGAGTTTGCCACATAACACATGGACCAAATTATCAAAGATCAAAAGCAATAAAACGGACATTTCTCGCCATTATCAGTTAAAATCCAAACGTGTTCATATTTTCTTGCCGCTGCTGGTGTGCAGTCAAGCGCCCACCACAATCGCTATTCACATGGCACGTTTCCGCTTTTATACTATGACCTGTTAAATATCATCACGCTGTTACTTCCCTGGTTATAAGCAGCACCATCGGTCCTCAATATAACAATGTCTGCCAATCGTGTTGATCTTTGAAAATGTTCTACCATGTTTTACATTACTGGTGACTCACTGAACAGCCCGTTTCCCCCAGGGTGCGACTGACCCTCCCAAAAATGTGCCCGTTCACGTTGTATTGATACATTGTTTAATACATTTGGAGAAGGCATCCTTTCCTCAAACGGCAGTTTTTTTAGGAAGTCCCGTTTGTTCAAATAACACTTGTCATCAACAGGTTTTCCCAGAGACCAGTGTTTTTCATTGCAAGGCCTGTAGGCCTTTGGCAGCCCTTAATACACCCCATCGTGCTGTCAAAACTCAATGGTTTCAAATGTGCAGCGGTCGTCGCACTGATGTCTTATCGGCGAAAGTGCCACACCCCCCCCCCTGAAAATGAGTGTCCCTCCCCAAGCCTTGCGGGTTGTGTACGGGTTATTTCAGCATCTTCACCACACCGTTTAGTGCGGGTAAGTGAAGGCAGGGCGCATAGACGTTGGGAGCATTGCACAGTACAATAATGTATTTTGCTCCACCGTACCCAGTTGGCAACGTAGCCCCGTGAGTAAAGCAGCAGCAGCAGTGTTGGCAGGCAATTTGTCAACCGCATTTCTCTGGCCATGTGAACATCTTCCAGCAGAAACCAAGGTGTATGAAGATACTTAAAAATAGGTTTAAGTGTAAGTGACGCTATGTAAATATGTGCCAGACTTAAACATTTCCTACTCTTCACAAGTTGTGTTTGTGTGCCTGTGTTTTGACTATACAATTCATTAAAACATTGTTGGACTTTTTCTTTCTACTCACATGTTGAAAATCAAAATAATTAAACAATTATGAATGGGGGCGTACCATTATTGAAAACTTCAAACAGAAGCGGTGTGATAGTTGATCCGAGCTCGGGTAAAAGGTTGACTACCACAACATGTACAGCCCTGTTGACAATCCACTCCTGGATGAAGGTCTCCCTATGCCATGCGGCTAATGGGAGTTACTTTACCATGTTAGTGCCGGTTGATGGTGGGGTGCATTGTTGTGGGCCAACAAGTGCAGTACACAATGGAGTTATTGCATTGCCCTCTGCTTTCCACCACGTTGCCCTGCAGCCTAGTATGCATAATAGTTGATCATCCAAGCTATTCGGGCACTATCAAGGCTCAACCTCACCTGATCAGTCGCGCTTCCGCGTAAAATGCACACGCTATAATATATTATTCCAGGTGATTTGTTTTTAAAGTATGGGCAGGTATTTTCCAGTTTTCATTTAATATGGAATGGTGTTCGCCACCAGTGAAACTTAACTTTTGAGTCATGTACCCCTTTTGTGCCACCTCAATCCTGATTTTCTGCCAGTTCACTTAAGTTTAGAAAGGTCAACCTCTGCAAAAGGTCATTAACTTTCGACCCCCCTGACATCACAAAGTGGCTATTTCATCAAGTTGCTTGTATACAGTAACCTACTGCAATTCAGTATTATGACGGGTCAAGTGCATTACGACACATGGCATGCATGTAATCAGAAAAAGACAAGTTGTGATTCCATTTTACAACAATATTTAATGTAAAGAACAAACCAAGTTTTCTGCAAGATGCCAACCGAGGAGGGGTTCCAGCATGGTCACTGAGAAGCTGGTATGGAATGCTGTCAACGTAGATTTCACGAATACAGTATGTACTCGGTAGACCTTTTTACCTGATGACATTTTTCACACAGTAACACTCCAAAGCAGTGAAGAGGCAAGTGCTGTTGATGAACGTCCACACAACAGGCCGGCACGTGGGTTATGGGTGGTGTGGCCAACGGAAACCCCAATCTGTCATCCGTCTCTCCATCGCAACTGTTCACGCTGTAGCTGTATAAGCCGCCGGGGGAAAAAGTCCATAGAAAGTCGCCAATAATCACTCGTCAGCGGTGCGCATGGCCAGGAGTCACAAAACGCAGGTTGCCGGGCTCCTAGCAGGTTAGGCACAGACGCCTTTAGTTGAATATGCCGGGGTCTACGTAAGGGAACGCCTCGAAGTCGCACACCTTGCCCCCGCTCTCGTCGTAGTGCAGCATGCGGAAGCAGACGTCGCAGAAGAAGCAGGGGTCCTCGGGGGCCAGCTCGTCGTTGTTGGTCACCCACCTGGGGGGCGGGGGAGTGCAGCCGTTGAATGGAAAACGTTAAGAACGTTAAGCAAGAGGAGCATTGAATTAACTTTCGTAATAAATTACCCTCCGAACAACTTCTAAATAGAAATGTAGGCGATACATTTCAAGGTGCAGAAACGCTTGATGGGAGAGGCCAACAACGAATGTTGCCGGGATGCGCCTCTCACTTGGCCGTGTAGATTTTGCAGACAAGACACTTCCTCGACATGAAGCAGTGCTTGCTGACGAGCAGGGGGTACAGGGACCGGTCTTGGCAGTCATCCGGGTTCACCATCCTGGTAGGTGTTCATAAAATCGGACCACCAGAGTAAACCACTGTGCGTTGCCCCACCAATACAAAAGGGGCTTCTCTTTGCTTCGGTCCACACAATGTTTACAAATATCGTGATCAAGGCACGTACACTGGTGTACAATTAAAAACAAAGTTGCGTCTTCATCTCCAGTACAATGTCACACCCGACTCGCTGGAAACAGATATATGAACTATAAAAGATGACCGGTAAGCCATGCACAAGTACTATGCTGGGTGTTTGCGGTGAATTGGTCAGAGCGGATACGTTAAGGTGGGATATAATGCGAGATTGTATTGTGACGAAAATGTAGTTTTTAAGTTGGTAAATGTTTATCTTCCTATGAAGATTGACCCCTGCCAAGGTAATAGGGATTTTCAACTACTGGTTCAGGGTTGCCTGTAGAGAGATAAGTGCCACCGAGTGCTTGATTTGACCAAGGAGACTGGCTCTGAATGACTTTTTTTGAATATGGCTCCTTGGGTTACATCCAAAAGCTAGAAGCTCAACGTCGCGCGTCTTTACCTTATGTCCTTGACGATGATGATGTGCTCGCAGTCTCCCTGGTGGCAGTAGAGGTAGGGGAATCCCACCTTGAGAACCAGGTCATTAAAGGTGTGGTCTTCCATGGAACGTGCCTCAAATGGCCCGTGGCCCCGGTCCAGGCAACTCGCCCACTCTACGATCGTCCTGCGAGACACCCGAGGAGTACGCATGGCTCAACACCATCATCATTACTTTGTTTTGGTGTGTTACGTTTATTGTCCTTCCCCCGCACCTCCAATTAGCACGGTTAGCTACGTATGGTGCGAAAGATCAGCATACATGCTTAATATATGAGCATAAACCATCACGTGAGCTCCGGTCATCCTCGCAATGGCTTTGGGCTGGCCATCGAACAAAGACGGTCACTGCATTGCGCGCTTTTTGAGATGCGCTTCTGCGGCCGTCTGGAACGGTCTTCCTTCCTGATATTAGCCACTGGAGCTATGCACCTTTAAATCAAGATTGAAAGCTTATTTCTTTAGAACAGTTTTTTGTGTTTAGTTTGTTGTCCTTCCCCCCCACCTCCGATTAGCACGGTCGGCTACATACGGTGCAAAAGGTCAACATACATGATTTTTATACCGTGCCTCCCACGCAAAATTAGATGAACCGAATTTATTATGCAGGCTTATGCAGTCATTGGTGACCAGGTTCAGACCATGAAATCGCTCTCCCTGAAATCCCAGTTTAACTACAGGTGGCTGTAACCTTGATTCAAACCTAGTATGTGTGCGGTGCTGGTTCAACGCCACCTGCTCACTTCACACGGTTCAGGAATTATTTTAAGAAGAAAAAAAAACAGGCAGCAGCAACAATAAAAGCAACACAATGCCACAGAAGTCCCAGAATGTGCCACCACCTGCTCAGATCCTGGCACTCGGGGAAGCGCATGTCATTGTAGAAGATGCCCTCAAAGTAGAAGAAGGCCGACTTGTAGAGGTCCCTGCTAGTGTGCTCGGGCGCCAGGTCGGGGGTGTTGCTGTACTCGCCCAGCATCTGCAGGTCGCTCACGCATGGCAGCGCATCCCGGAGCTCCGTCAGCTTCTGGCTGCCCAGCACATGGAGCACCTGGTGTGGTTTGCTGCACTTGTGCTGCAGAGGTAATGCAAAAAAAAATTACGTGAAATTCACCAGTACAAACCACCCCATCGAGCCACGTCGGCGCGGGGGGCCCCTCACGGTCCATGTACTTATCCCTCTGGCAATTTGCCGAGCCAGGACCAAACCGAGAAGGTCTGGCCTCACACAGACATCTGAAGAAGGCTTGGGACCAAGCAAGGCCAGAGTCGGGGTTGATCATGCGAGCTGTTCATTGCGTCAATCGGCACGTTAAACTTTTGACATCGGCAGCAGTGGGAAAAAAAAATCGACGGCACAAAGTATATTAGATGTGGTGTGCCGGGCGTGGAAATATTTCACGGGTCACCGACCCAAACAGGAACCTCTGAAATTAAGGCATGTGCGAGTGTGCTGGTGAGAGCTGGCCGGGGAGTGTGCACCAGCGAGAGTGTGCCGGGGAGTATACCAGCGTGAGTGTGCTGGTGTGAGCGTGTCGGAGAATACGTGCCGGCAAGCGCGTGCTGGCGAGATTGTGCCGGCGTGAGCGTGCCGGCAAGTGCGCGTCGGAGAGAGCGCGCCGGAGAGAGCGTGAGTGTGCGCACCCGCTGAAGGATGATGGGGTAGTAGACGTTAACGTCGAGCAGGACCTCTCCGGGTGGGATGGCGTCCTCCGGCTCCTCAGACTGCTTGGCGTGGTACTGCAGCTCCTGCACGCAGCAAGAAAAAAGGCAGCAGCAACAAAACAAAGATCCCCCTTGTAGCCTTAAGAGACGTTTGGGGCAATTGCTATTAGCGAGCACCTGTGAAAGCAGGCACGGTACACGAGGGGGTGGGTGGCCAGCACCACGCACAAACACCTTTGTCTCCCCAGTGGCGATGTTCACACACCGCACCAGGTACTCATTGGAGGCCGAGTCGACCTAGGGGAGGCCCAGAACCGGTTCAGATAATCTTCACCGGCGGTGGCCGTGGACGGGAATCGAACTCGGGTTGCCAGGCTCGAAGCGCAGCGCGCTGACCGCCCTGGGTTTGGCCCTGCTGGCTGTGTGCACCATCTCGCTCGGGAGCCCGTGGGCTTGCCTCTGGCGGCTGGTCGTACCATCTCGCGCAGCATGGTTTGTATACGCTTGTTCGTTGGCGCTCCCGTAGGGCGCAGGCGTTGTTTCTTTTCCAGGTACTGCTGCCTCAGCCTGCACGCAAAGCACGCACAGCACACATAGCATGCGTAGCCTTACCATACTGTTGAGTCAAATCGCTGTTCGCGAGTACCCACGAAAGGTTGCCACGGCACAAGAGAGGGAGGGAGGGGGGGGCTAACACCACACACAGCACCAGGCACTGTTAAGGCTCGAGTTCACCGGGTTCGTAGTGAAGTCCGCTAACCACTACATGACCGCTCCCCACAGCAGTCACCGCAAACAAGCACACCGCATACAGCACGCACTACAACACGTGTACAGCACACATAGCACACAGCACACGATGTACACCGACACGAGACCTGTCAATCCACGACTGGATGAAGGCATCTCCCCATGGCACATCAGCCGTGGGTTATTTGACCAAAACTTCACGATGCCGGTCAGTGTTGATTGGTGAAGACCGGGAGCGTAAACCTTGGAGCATATGACAGTACAGTACAACATCGGATTTTTTTTCTGCACCGTCTCTCTGCTACCCACCAGCATCGTCCCTGCCTTCAACATCTGCCATGGACGGCGGTCGGCCATCCCAAGCGCTATCCAGGCTCACCCCGCTTAGCTTTCTGACAATCTCGTTCTGTCGTGTGCCAACGCAGGGGGGTGGGATGGCATAGCTGCCATTCTTTCATTGCACGGTGCGGTGAACATTCGTTTTTATGTATTATGATGGGAAACGAAGTCTGTGTTTTTACAAATTTGGGCTTCGCGATCAGAAGCATCTTCTGATCCCGAGGGCGGTGGTCGGCGGTGGGGGGGGAGCGGTGGGAGCCGACTCACCTGAGCGTGAGGAGTTCCACGTGCGGCGGGATGCTGCGTGGATCACAGTTCAGTGCCTCAGCGGGACACCGCAGCGTCTCCACTCTACGCGCGCGCAGGCAGAACACAGACACCGCGACAGACAACGACGGGGCCCCGTTTGTTGTCGTCAATGTCGGGTTGACATCACACGCGTGGTTACCTTAAGGACAAGCGCAACACGCGCGCGCACGACGTTATGCTTGCACGTGGAAAGCTGCCGCTGCTGCGTCTCCGCACCCGCACACGAGGCTCAGCTCCTGCTCCAGTGCCTCGCTGCCGCCGCGTCTCCTCGCCTCGGCGGCAGCGAGGCGGCTCCGCCACCGCTCCGCCAGACCGCGCACCCACACGGGCGACGAGTGCGAGCCGGCAACCTCCAGCCGGAGTTCATCCCCGCACGCCTGCCCGCCCTGGCCCCGGCCATGCCCCCGTCCTTCCACGGCACCGGGGGACGAAGCAGAGAGAGGAGTCGCCAGAGGAGTCGCCGCAGGAGCCGCCGCAGGAGGAGGCGGAGGAGGAGGAGGCGCCCGTAACCCCGAGCCGCACGCCGCCTCCGCCATCTGTTTATTTCCGTCTGCTTGATGCGCACGCGTGCTACGGGTGCCCGTGCGCCCTGCGCTGACGGTGGTGGGGAAAGGCGTTTGTAAAATAAAATACAATTTACGCGTTGCCGACTGCGGCGTCTTTGGGGTGGGGTCCAGGTCGTTGGGACGCTTACCCCCCCCCCACCTCGATTCCGTAGGGCGATGACCACAACGTGAAGTGAAACAATGGTCGAACGTTTTGATTTAAAGCTTTCGTGACTGCAGTGTTAGGGGCCGTCCATAAATGACGTCACGTACCTGGGGGGGTGGGGGGGTCAGACGTTTGTGACGATGTGTGACGGGGGGGGGGGTGAGAAATGTGACGTCACATCAAAATGCGCAACTTTAAATAAATATAGACAACACTTTCTACTTAATTAGACTTTTAAATAAATGTTTTATCCTACAACATCAGAGTGCAGCGCCACATTAAATACGCACTACAATGACAATAGTTTAAAGCGATTTGAAGCATGTGTTTTTTTGTTGGGGGGGGGGGGGCAGAGCTTTGTGACGTCATATTTGAGGGGGGGGTCTGACTTTTTGTGACGTCGTGTAACGGTGGGGGGGGGGGGAGTAAAAAAATCGTCCAAAATCGCGTGACGTCATTTATGGACGGCCCATTAGACGAAGAAGAGCTGATGATGATAATGGTGATAATGATGTTAAAGATGAAAATTATGATGAAAATGATAATAATGCTGATAACAATGATGACTTTACCGACAGGACCAAAGAGTTTGGATTCCTGCAGTCACGAAAGCTTCAGATCAAGATTGATGATGATGCCGGCGGTGATGAGAAGGAAACTCTTTGGACACCAACAGAGCGAGTGCAAGCGGTGTTGTTATTGTTCGGAAAATTGGATGTAACCTGCAAGGGAATCAACATATTTATGTATACCGGAGGAATTCGATGAGCTATAAAAGCTTTTTTTTTAAACAGATGTCCAGTAGGGGCAAGGGGTCAGAACGTTACAAAAATATGAGTACACACCGCCTGCACGTTGCTAAAATGTTGTCTTGCACGGATGTACAAGTCTCCTGCCACAAACAAACAAAAAAGGAAACGTGGAGTTTCCACCGCTCGTGTTGCGATCGAAACGTCCTGCAGTCACGAAATCTTCAAATCAAGATTGAAATGAAGATTAAAAGCAAGATTCAACTCTCGTGGTGGAAACCGCCTCGTCTAGAACCCGTTGCGCACCCTAAACGCAGCGGCTCTTGAAATATCGACGAGAAAAAAAATGTGTTACATTTTGACTTAAAACTTTCGCGGACTGCAGAAATTCATATTCTTGGCCTCTTTCGGTGAAGTCGCGTAGATAGAAAATAAAATAAAAACAAATAAAGACCGCTTGTGTCGCGATCGAAACGTCGTGGGGTTTTTTTGCTTTCATTATTTCAATTTATTATTTTTTAATTTCATTTAATTTTATTACCGCAAGAACCAAGAATATTCCAAAAAGACCGTGTTTGTTTGTACACCGTCCGCGCCCTAACGAGAGTGCGCGCGGCTGCCCTCCCGTGGCCACGTGCGGCTCCACAAGTCGCGGCGGCAGCGGCACGCGGGGGCGTGGCCTCGCGTCTCCTGGACGCGCGCGTCCCCAAACACAGGTGGAGTAAGACCTGCAACGGGCGGCACACTCACACACACTCACTCTTATACTCTCACACACTCACACACTCACCTGAGCGGCACACACACTCACCTGAGCGGCACACACACTCACCTGAGCGACACTCACACACTCACACTCTCACACACTCACACACTCACCTGAGCGGCACTCACACTCACCTGAGCGGCACACACACTCTCACCTGAGCGACACACACACTCACACACTCTCACACTCTCACCTGAGCGGCACACACACACACTCTCACCTGAGCGACACACACACTCACACACTCTCACACTCTCACCTGAGCGGCACACACACACACTCTCACCTGAGCGACACACACACTCACACACTCTCACACTCTCACCTGAGCGGCACACTCACCTGAGCGGCACAACCGAGGTAAGGATCTCACCAGCCCCCCACCCGCTCCCCTGCCCCTGCGTTGGACACAGCCCTTGGTTGTAAGACATTGGTGAGGACGTCACCTGGTGAGACGGTGGAGACACCTGCGGCAGAGAGAGGCGCCTGGGTGATGCGCACTCACCTGGCCGGAAGCTGTATGGGGAATGGACACCTGAGTGGACACGAAGCTGGGGAGACGGACACTCTACCTGGGGTGACGGCTGGGGAGACAGGGTACTCACCTGGGTGAAAACTCACCTGGGTGGACACACACTCACCTGGCCCCAGGTGAATCGAGAATAGAGCAGTGACTTTTAACGATGACTCTATTATGACAGTTCCCAAAGGATACAAAGGCTAGCGATAATATTACAGTTCCTAAAGGATACAAAGGCTAGCGATGCTGCTGTATTAGCAACGGACAGTGAGGTGTTTCACGAAACATTTCACATTGTGTTGTGCACGCAGGGCAGAGTTGATAAGAGCTGTGTGTGTGTGTCGGTCTTAATGGGGATAGTTGGCCCGAGTGATTAGCGCACTGCGCTACTAACCCGACCACCCGAGTTTGATTCCCGTTCACGACCAATAAACGTCACGATTGTCTGAACCGGTCCTGGGCCTCCCCCCTAGGTCGACTCAGCCTTACGTGAATGCCTGGTGCGGTGTGTATTAAACATTGCCACTGGGGAGACAAAGGCGGTCGGGCGTGGCGTTGGCCACCCACCCCCTCGTGTGCCGTGCCGACCTTTTTGGGTGCTACTCGCTAACGGAAACTTGTCCCAAAAGTCTGTGACGGCTATAAGGGGGATCTGTGCATTTATTGAGCTTAAAGGCGCTTTCTGAAACATTTACTCCGCTGGTGAATGATGGACCTTCGTCTCTGTTTTGTTTTAATATATAATGTATGAAAATTAAATAGATACTTGCAATAAGATCCTCACATGCATGTACTGTACAGGATGCTTCAAAAACATGTTAACACTTAAATGGGACTATCGTTTTTAATGAAAAAAAAGCGGATGATAGACTGTAACATGATAACAAATTTATTGTTAATGGCTTTAAAAAGTCAAAGAGTCTCCCACTTGTTCGCCATCGTTGTCAACACGTGGCCTGGAATCTTCTTCAGGTGGTTTCCAGAGCCCGGAGGCAGCAGCACATGTCACGTGGTGTTAACATTTTTTTGGAGCGCGCTCTATAAACAGTGATGCGCTTGTATAAACAGCACTCTACTTCGCTGTACAATCAACTGTGGCTGTCATGGATAAACCAACCCCTGCCATGGGAATAAGGAATTTCCACCACTGACCTGGCACTGCCGACAGAGATGAGGACGACCACATGGTCATTGATAAACAATGACCCCACGCAAGTAACACGTTTGTAATAACAATGTATCCTTAAGTGCAGCAGATATGCTCTGCTCAATGAACCTGATGAGCCGAGTTCGATTCCCGACCGTGGCTAACAGGATAAATACAGGTGATTCTGATTCTGCAAGTGATATCTGAATTGCGGTGGCGAGATCCTATCTCCCTCGCCTGGAATGCATGAGGTCGTCGTGGGTACGATCCCTAGACCCTGACAATGCCTGTTGTATATTTGGAGTTTGCGTGTTCTTTCTCCCCTTGGTCGCGTGGATATTTCTCCACGTCTTCCGGTTATGCCCTCAACATGAAGAAACGTGCTTGTAGATTATGTGGGTGCTGCTATAGATTCCCACGTGTGATCATATAAGCCACTTCAACGCAGGGACGTGCGGTCAGGGGAGGCAGGTGAGGCACAGCTTCACCTGTCATACTCCAATGAAAATAGCTGATACGAAAAGTAAAAATTAATAAACTAAAAATTAAGATTTTCCATTGATCTGCGTTATGAATGTCATTTCTGTACGATTCCAATCATTTTTATGGTCAAAATCGCCAAATTTGCAAATACTGCAGGAAGAGACGAGAGGCGAGGAAGCGACGAGATCAGCCTCCCCTCTGATTGCGCAACCTCTCAGTAACTGGATAGAGTGCGGGCAATAAGCGCGTGCCTGTTACTATCTCAGTATGTCACCAATATAATGTTTATATTCTTAGCTCTTTCGATGAAGTCACGTTGAAGGGAAACAATAAAATAATAAAATATATATAAAACAATAAAAATTCTCACGACGTTTCGACCATAACACAAACGGTCGTCATCAGGTGTGTCGGTTCGCATTAATTTATTTATTTTTAAGCACACCGTTATTTTTTTTTAAACACACCGCTATTTATTTTTAAACACACCATTTAAAAGTAAATAAAGTAATGCAAACCGACACACCTGATGACGACCGTTTGTGTTATGGTCGAAACGTCGTGAGAATTTTTATTGTTTTATATATATTTTATTATTTTATTGTTTCCCTTCAACGTGACTTTACCGAAAGAGCTAAGAATATGAATTACTGCAGTCACGAAAGCTTTAAATAAAAATATAATGTTTGTAGACCCCTTCATTTCATGTCCTCCCCTTCCATACTCCAGGTAACTTATTTCACGTATGTGTATAAAGATATTTAGGCTCGCTGGTCTCGTCATGAAACTGCAATGAAAAAGTACCAGGTGAGGCAGCTATCACATCTACCTCACTGAGGGGGGCGTATCAGACACGCCCCCCTCATCGAGGACACGCCCCCTCAGTGAGGACACGCCCCCCTCAGTATGTGAATCTGGCTCTGATACCAGCCAGTGTCTCCCCAGCCATTGACCTCACCGCACGTCAATGCTTCAATTAGCTATCAAGTGTGGCCAAGTCTCTAAAAAAAAAATAGCTCTTAGCTCAGTGGGCTTTACCTGGTAAATAAAATAGTAGTAGGACCAGTGATGCCTCCTCACTCACTAACCTAGCATCAAGTACAGTATGGTTAAACAGCTGTCACCAAGGTGAACCGTTTTAAATTATTCATCATCTGATTTGTACCACTCGTGCTGCAATATCTTGACAGGGCAAAACATTAGTGTTGCGAGTTGATGTATGCACCTTGGTGCAAATGTTAGTAAGCCAGTGGTGTTCACGTGAACAGGATTTTCACAAATACACCACACCTGCTGGCAAAATGTACACATGTGAAGGTTTCTACTCTTGCACAACTGGCCGACGTTTTCACAATTGTAGTCTCGTATGAATTCGTACACGAGTATAGTATTGGGAGGTTATAAGAAAAGGCTTGACACTTTCTGGCAATAAAACAGTTTGTGTTCAGCTGTTAAAACACCAAACTGAAACCTTTTGCAAGGAATCGTGTCCGCATTAATCACAAATACTCGTGGTAAACATGAAAAAAAAACACTGGTAGTCTATGCATTGTCTTTTGAACTGATTGGTCCACACCAGAGACAGCTTTCTTTCGAGCATGCTCTCAAACGGTGTTAGACCAGAGGATGCCAAAAGGCGAACAGCACAAAGACAATGCCACTATCAGGACATTGAGAGCTCGGGGTGAGCAGCTACAGCTAAACACCCGTTTTATTGCCAAAAAGGGTAAAACCTATTCTTACATTTTGATACTGGCAAGGGAGGTTCCATGATATCGGGAGGTTATTGGACATCCCTTGGGTGTTCTCGGACAGAGAACAGGCGTCACGGTGGTGAGATGTTAACTACCTCGCCTGGTATGCAGGAGGTCGTGGGTTCGATCCCCGACCTTGCTGCCTGTTGTGTATTTGGAGTTTGCACGTCTCTCCCTGTGGTCGCGTGGATTTTTATCCGGGTCCTCCGACCTTCCGATGGACTTACTGCGATGTTCCCATGTGTACCATGTGTACTGCCGGGTGGACTAAATAGGGGAGGGTAGCGTGAGTAGTGACGGCGTCCCATAGTCCTCGCGTCGTGCGTTGTGGACGTGGGTGAAATGCGAAACGTTGGGCGTTTGTGCGCAGCCTGCGGAACGAAATGCCGACGCAGATCCAGTACTACAACTCGTCACCGGCCATGACGGGGGTGCTGCACCCCCAAACGGCGCAGTGTTCGCGTCAGCCCGTCCGGCCCTGGGACCCTTACCCACCCCACCCACCGGCACGCATCGCCCCGGCCACGGGTAAGCACACACCACCAGCAGCAGCAGCAGCCGCCGCCGCCGGTAACGCACGGAGTATTGGCGACGCTTAACCAGAGCTGGGCTGTCTTGATTGTTTCACGTGATAGGTTACTCTTATCAATTATCGGTTCGATTGCTCAACTTTCCCCCACTTCAGATTAGCACGGTTGGCTACGTATGGCACGGAAAAAGGTCAACGCACGTACATACAATCGGATAACTTGAAATTGTGTGCAGGTGATGGGCACGGTCTGGGGACGACGTTGGTATTGTCAGTGGTGTCACGCCGGGCCTGACTTGCAGGGGGGGGGTTCGGCCTTTGAGAGACAGCATGTGGGGGCAGCTGACATTTGCAAAGGGGTCCGCGTAATGGAAACACAGACTAAGCAGTCGATCATTAACCCACGTTTCCATGAACCGGCTGCATATGGGCGATAGCAGCGCGCGCACAAGGGCAGAACCAAGCTGGGCCAAAACCAGGCCAAGTTGTGTTCCCATGAAGCCACTGGCCTCATCCGCTCCCATCCCATTCCACCCACCTCACCCCCTTTGTCAGCCCCCTGCTGGATGAGGGCCTCCCCACAGCGTGCAGGTCCTGGGGGGTTATTCGATCATACTTCACCATGCTGGTCAGTGCGGCTTAGTGAAGGCGGGGAGATGAGACGCAGGAGCATAGCAGTACAGATTTGCACCCAAATTTGTACTCACAACCGTTGAATTCTTCGTCCAAGCATTTTGCCTCAATGCCAACCAAACAGCTATTAAAATATCTAAAACTGGTGGCATTAAGCGCTGCAGCTGACACAGTCTGTTAGCTTATGATCTCAACCAGACCGAACACAATTCTTTTTAGCCACCCATTTCACGTATTTGCAAAAATGCAAAAACCTATCAATATTTTTATTGAAAAGTTGCTATTTTCCAAATTTGTAGCCATTTTCCCACCAACAGTTGGCATACAAATCAGTTTCCATCAACACACGAGCCGAGCCCATTGTGCCTCGTGCAGTGTGCCACGGTCCTGCTGTAACCAGAGCCTGATGCAACGCGCCTACAGGCATGGGCATGCTTCTTGCATCGCACCCCAAACTAAGGTTTTCATCTTGGTTGGCTGGCAAACTCCCATGCGTATCGGTGTTTTGCACGAACGTACATAGGTTTTCAGCACTTCAACGCATTTATTTTTTTCTGACGATTCTCAGCCCGCGCCCGACAGATTCTCAGTTTCGCTCGGACTCCGGCTCGCGAGCGCCGTCACCTTTCGCACGCGAGCGCTTGCGCGCGTACCGGACCGTGTGTGTGCGCGCGAACGCGACTGGCCGCGCAGGCTTTCACCACCGGTCGCTGTCGGCCCCGCTGGACCGCCCAACGTGGAACGACCCACGGCACGGGCGCGCCGCCTCTCCGCCGGCCTGGCCGCGCGTCGGTCCGCGACGCCAGCCCTTCCAGTCGTCCCTTGGCCGCCGAGCTCCCTTCGCAGGTGCCCTCCAGCAGAGCCTCGCGCGTCTAACGCTCGTCGGGTGAACCGTGGTTATTCGTCGCCGCCGCATTCAAGTTCGGTTTATAAACGCTTTTTGCGTGGCGATTCGGTTTGTCGTCCGTTCCACCCGCACCTTCGGTCAGCGCTGGTTCGCTATGTACGGTGCGAACATTACTTCTCTCAAGCTCTCACCACGCACTACCGTGGGCATCTTCAGGAGTTGCAGACGACAGCCCTCTGACGGTGTCTTTCGGCTAGTACATGCAGGTACAACCCCGACCACTCGCCAGACAGCCATCGTCGGCCTTCTCCAGTCTCTAGCTTCTCCAAGTCCTGAAGATACCCCGCAGTAGTGCGTGGACAAAGCTCGAGGAGAGAAACGCTCAACAGTACACCGCAGGCAAATCCCGCGTTTTAAATCACCACGATTGCTAGTCACACCCATCGTCGGAGAATAGTCCTTCTAGCTAAGGCGTCGGCGGTTTGCGCCCGGCTGGTTGCGGGGTCCTCGTCGTGAATGACACGGTCGTTGCGTGGCGCAGCTCGGACGATGGACGTGGGCCTGTACAGCCGGGGGCGGCACGTCAACGGCAGGATGGGCAGCCTGCCACCGTACGCCCCCTTCAATGACCCGCACCTGCTCGACTACTACACGCGCAAGTTCGCGATGGAACCCCGGCCGCCGTCCACGGTGGGTGGTGCCTGCGTGGTGCCCGAGGGCACGCGGTGGCAGCGGCGGGGATGGAAATTCGAGAAGCCACGTTGATGTTGATGACGGTGAAGACCTTGAGGTGTATGACAAGTGCTGATCGTCGTGATGATGATGATCGTGGTGATACGGATGATGATGACAATACCGGGAATCATAACAATGATGGTGATACTTACAATACCAAAGCTGATGATGAGTATTGTTGTTGTTACAATGGACAATACGGATGATGATGACAATACCGGGAATCATAACAATGATGGTGATACTTACAATACCAAAGCTGATGATGAGTATTGTTGTTACAATGGACAAAATAAAACTGATGGTAATGACAATAATGTGATTTACAATGGAGATATTTTAAGATAGTGGTGACACAGACTATGACAGTTGTGATGATGGCGATGCATGAGTACTATTTTAACCAACAGCTTAAGGTGACGCGCACGACTTGGAATAAAAAAAATAAACTCTACGTTTGACACATCCGTCACTCCTGAGTTACCCACGTTACTCCCACTGCCGAGCGCAGGCGGGGAGAGGGGGGAGTGCCCGCAGCACCAGGGGTGGCGTCCTCTACACGGTGACGGTGAAGACCGGAGATCGCAAGAACGCAGGCACCCAGGCCAGGGTATGACCAGCGGCGCGGTGGATGTCATGTGCGCCGTGCGTGCGTGTGTGTGCGTGTCTACGTATCTGCGGGGAGCGGTCATGTAGCAGTTACCACCGGTGTCGATTATCTGAACCGGTCCTGGGCCTCCCCTAGGTCGACTCAGCCTCAAAAGGTGTACGTGTGTGCGGTGTGTGAACATCAGCGGCCAGGCGTGGTGCTGGCTACCGATCCCATCGCGTGCCGTGCCGGCCTTCGTAGATGTTCGCTCACAGACACTCGCTCCAGCGGTCTGTTAAAGTCTGCACGGTGGGTGGATCTTCTCCTCCTTTGCCTTTGCGCTAGGTGTACCTGCAGATGAAGGGCTCCAAGGGCAGGGTCAACAAGAAGCGCCTCTACAAGAAGTCCAGCTCCGGCATCGGAGACTTCCGGTTCGGCCGCGGCTCTAGCCACACGTTTCGGCTGCACGGCCCCGAGCTCGGCGAGCTCAAGGCCATCACGCTTGAGGTACGGGGAGAGAGGGCGGCCACCACTACCACCGTAGCGCGTAAAGGACCGCGGCATTACGTCCGTCGTGCCTCCGTGTGCTCGAATGAGTTTGTTGCGTTTGTGCGCTCGCGTCCATTGGTGACCCCGAGCCTAGCGGTGGACATTCCCTGTTCCGATGGCGGGACTCAGTCTCACCGTAGGACGGCCCCCGCTGTTGGCGATTTTTGGGAGCGGTAGGGTTAGCGGTTAGCGCGCTGCGAACCCGGCAAGCCGAGTTTGATTCCCGATCACGGCCAATAACAGTGGCGACGAACATTTGAACCGGATCTGGGCCTTCCGTAAATGTTCTCAATCCTTAAAATGAGTACCTGGTGCGGGATGTAAAACATCACCACTGGGGAGATAAAGGCGGCTGGACGTGGTGTTGGCCATCCACCTCCTCATGTGCCGTGCCGGCCTCCATAGGTGCTCGCTAACGGCACTTTCCCCAACAGTCTGTTGAGGCTACACGGAGGATCTTTGTCTTTGTTGTGGTTGTCAACTCAGCCTCAGATGAGTCCCTGGTGCAATGTGTAAACATCGCCACTCGGCAAGCAATGGCGGCCGGGCGTGGTGTTGGCCACCCACCCCCTTGTGCACCGTGCCGGCCTTCGTAGGTGCTCGCTGTACGACACTTGCCCCAACAGTCCGTTTAGGCTACACGGGGGGAACCTTTCTCTTTGGGGCAGCACGACGGGCTGGAGGAGCACGACGCGTGGTTCGTGGAGGAGGTGAGCGTGACGAGCGCGTCGCGGGCGCGCACCTGGACCCTGCCGTGCCACTGCTGGCTGTCGCTGCACCGCTCCGACTGCCAGATCAGCCGCACGTTCACGCCGCTCGCCCGCGAGTCGCATACCGGTGGGGGTGCCCCTCGCGATCGCTCGCCGCGCGTTCTATAAACACTGGCGGCGCCACGTCACATATCCGCCCCGACCTATTATCCGCCAACACCCAGTGAAATCTGCCCTTTCGTGCGTACGTTCGCTTACCTGTGAAGCACAGAAAAGCGTTTCCCCACGTTCAAAGCAAATTTGCGCTTAGTTTTTTGTCCAGTGACCCATTTGTGCATGTGTGAACATCTACAGATGTGTGAACATCAAATAGACATCTATAGAATTTCACACATGCGACCGTTTGAGCCGGATGACACTTCTCCGATAGATTACCTTAATGACACTTCACCGATAGGTTACCTTAACAATGACACTTCACCGATAGATTACCTTAACAATGACACTTCACCGATAGGTTACCTTAACAATGACACTTCACCGATAGATTACCTTAACAATGACACTTCACCGATAGGTTACCTTAACAATGACACTTCACCAATAGGTTACCTTAACAATGACACTTCACCGATAGGTTACCTTAACAATGACACTTCACCGATAGGTTACCTTAACAATGACACTTCACCGATAGGTTACCTTAACAATGACACTTCTCCGATAGATTACCTTAATGACACTTCACCGATAGGTTACCTTAACAATGACACTTCACCGATAGATTACCTTAACAATGACACTTCACCGATAGATTACCTTAACAATGACACTTCACCGATAGATTACCTTAACAATGACACTTCACCGATAGGTTACCTTAACAATGACACTTCACCGATAGGTTACCTTAACAATGACACTTCACCGATAGGTTACCTTAACAATGACACTTCACCGATAGATTACCTTAACAATGACACTTCTCCGATAGATTACCTTAATGACACTTCACCGATAGGTTACCTTAACAATGACACTTCACCGATAGATTACCTTAACAATGACACTTCACCGATAGATTACCTTAACAATGACACTTCACCGATAGATTACCTTAACAATGACACTTCACCGATAGGTTACCTTAACAATGACACTTCACCGATAGGTTACCTTAACAATGACACTTCACCGATAGGTTACCTTAACAATGACACTTCACCGATAGATTACCTTAACAATGACACTTCACCAATAGGTTACCTTAACAATGACACTTCACCGATAGATTACCTTAATCACACTTCACCGATAGATTACCTTAACAATGACACTTCACCGATAGGTTACCTTAACAATGACACTTCACCGATAGATTACCTTAACAATGACACTTCACCGATAGGTTACCTTAACAATGACACTTCACCAATAGGTTACCTTAATCACACTTCACCGATAGATTACCTTAACAATGACACTTCACCGATAGATTACCTTAACAATGACACTTCACCGATAGGTTACCTTAATCACACTTCACCGATAGATTACCTTAACAATGACACTTCACCGATAGATTACCTTAACAATGACACTTCACCGATAGGTTACCTTAATGACACTTCACCGATAGATTACCTTAACAATGACACTTCACCGATAGGTTACCTTAACATTGACACTTCACCGATAGATTATCTTAACAATGACACTTCACCGATAGATTACCTTAACAATGACACTTCACCGATAGGTTACCTTAACATTGACACTTCACCGATAGATTACCTTAACAATGACACTTCACCGATAGATTACCTTAACATTGACACTTCACCGATAGGTTACCTTAACAATGACACTTCACCGATAGATTACCTTAACAATGACACTTCACCGATAGATTACCTTAACAATGACACTTCACCGATAGGTTACCTTAACAATGACACTTCACCGATAGGTTACCTTAACAATGACACTTCACCGATAGGTTACCTTAACAATGACACTTCACCGATAGATTACCTTAACAATGACACTTCACCAATAGGTTACCTTAACAATGACACTTCACCGATAGATTACCTTAATCACACTTCACCGATAGATTACCTTAACAATGACACTTCACCGATAGGTTACCTTAACAATGACACTTCACCGATAGATTACCTTAACAATGACACTTCACCGATAGGTTACCTTAACAATGACACTTCACCAATAGGTTACCTTAATCACACTTCACCGATAGATTACCTTAACAATGACACTTCACCGATAGATTACCTTAACAATGACACTTCACCGATAGGTTACCTTAATGACACTTCACCGATAGATTACCTTAACAATGACACTTCACCGATAGGTTACCTTAACATTGACACTTCACCGATAGATTATCTTAACAATGACACTTCACCGATAGATTACCTTAACAATGACACTTCACCGATAGGTTACCTTAACATTGACACTTCACCGATAGATTACCTTAACAATGACACTTCACCGATAGATTACCTTAACATTGACACTTCACCGATAGGTTACCTTAACAATGACACTTCACCGATAGATTACCTTAACAATGACACTTCACCGATAGATTACCTTAACAATGACACTTCACCGATAGGTTACTTTAACAATGACACTTCTTCACCGATAGGTGACCTTAATACTGACATTCTACCGATAGGTTACCTTCACAATGAACATTAATCGATAGGTTACCTTAACAAAGATTCTCACTGATATTTTACCTCCACAACGACAGCCGTGTGTACACGTCTTCTGGGACGATGTCGCGACGCTGACCATGAGGTTACGACGGTTGTCCCCCCCCCCCCCGCCGTGACCGTAGTGTACGAGGTGGTGACGGTGACGGGCGACGTCCGCGGCGCCAGCACCGACGCCAACGTCTCCGTGACCCTGTTCGGGGAGCGCGGCAGCACGGCCAAGCTGCAGCTCACCAGCGCGTGAGGCCGCCTCCGTTCACCGCGCGCCCGCACGATTGACGCGCCTCCCACGCTAGCGGCTTCATTCGTTTGTTCATGCCTTTGTATTTGGGGTATAAGGCAGGGTCAGCGTAGGAGGCAGGGTCAGGGTAGGAGGCAGGGGCAGGGTAGGAGGCAGGGTCAGGGTAGAAGGCAGGGTCAGGGTAGGGGGCAGGGTCAGGGTAGGAGGCAGGGTCAGGGTAGGAGGCAGGGTCAGGGTAGGAGGCAGGGTCAGGGTAGGAGGCAGGGTCAGGGTAGGAGGCAGGGTTAGGGTAGGAGGCAGGGTCAGGGTAGGAGACAGGGTTAGGGTATGTCTTAAATATATGGATAAATGTGATGTCCTCACTTGTGAGCCAATCAGGTGTGGAAACCAGAGGGATGGAGGGTTAATGTATCTAATACCGAAACAGGAGGATTTCTCTACAACTCTGGCTGTAGCTTGATGATGCTGGTTGTAATTACTGGCGATATATCGTACTTGAATCGTAAATGTTGTGGGTTTTCTCTCCAACACACCGTCGTGCTGTACTAGTAACAAAGTGACAAGTTTTGTTTACGCGACAAACCTTACTAATTGGCTGTGTCGGCTGGTGGCGGGTTTAACGACGCATTTATATTTAAGCGATCTAACCAAAAAACCTCCATGGTGGATAATATTGGTCACCAAAGACTATGTGTTAAACAGGAACACGCAGGCTTTTGCGACCAATATGAAAGTATAACTGTGTCGTAACCTTCCACCACCCGACACAGCCAATCAGTAAGGGATTTGTCACGTAAACACAACGCGCCAATTAGTTCCTACTTCAGCCCACCGGTGTATTGGAGACTAAATGCACAACATATACAATTTGAGTACGACGTTTCACTGGTAATTTCATCCAGCACCATCGGGCGATTTGTCAGAATAGTGGAGATGGGTAGGTCGGTCAGTGAGTGGGTAAGTAGGTCGTGGGGTAGATGTGTAATGAGGTTGGTGTGTATAATTCGGTAGCCAGGCCGGATCGCCGCGTGAGGTGCGAGCGTTTGCGTGACGTGTGTGCCCTTTGCTGCTGCAGCGGCAAGGACTGCTTCGAGAGAGGGAAGACGGACACGTTCAAGGTCAAGGCGAACTGCGTGGGACCACTGCGGAAGATAAGGCGAGGGGCAACACTGATTGACTCGCATCAAGTTTTGTGTTTTGATTGACATCCCGCCACGGTGGCTAGGAGATGTTAACCACCTCGCCTGGTACACAGGAAGTCGTGGGTTCGATCACGACCCCGACGCCTGCTGCTGTATATTTGGAGTTTGCGTTTCTCTTTCCCCGTGGTCGCGTGGATTTTTCTCCGGTTTTCTCCCCATCAATTAGAATCGACGTGCGTTTAGAGTATTTGGCTGCTTTAAATTTCCACATCATAAGCCACTTCGTTGAGCTTTCATTTGTGGCCAGGTCGCTTCTGAAAAAGAGCGATGTAGCTCAGTAGGCCTTACCTGATAACATGTAAAAAATAGCTTTTTAAACCGGCTAAGAACTCTAACAGACCAAAATTTGTCTAATTTGCAAGAGCAACCCGGGTATGAGTCTGCCGATAGGGGGGGGGGGGGATGATTGCTGCTGTGTATAAACACAATCGAACAATTCTGTGTTGTTGTGCCACCAAAGATAAAGATCCCCCTTAAAGGCAGGTGGCCAGCACCACACCCGGGCCGCCTCTGTCTCCCGAGTGGCGACGTTTCCACACCGCACCAGGTACTCATTTGAGGCTGAGTCTACCTAGAGGAGGCCCAGGACTCGGTTGCGATAATCGTCTCTGGTGTTCGAGGCCACCGTGAGCGCCAGTTGAACTCGGGGCCGCCGGTTTCATGGCGCGGCGTGCTGACCAACGTGCCACTGCTCCTTGCACACACGCACGCACACACACACGCACACACACACACACACGCACACACACACACGCACACACACGCACGCACGCACTCACGCACACACACACACACATGCACACACACACACGCACACACACACACACGCACGCACTCACGCACACACGCACACACACGCACACACACACACACGCACACACGTACACACACACACGCACACGCACACACGCACACACACGCACACACACACGCACACACGCGCACGCAGGGTGGAGCACGACAACCGCGGCAGCGCCCCGGGCTGGTTCCTGGAGCGCGTCGTGGTGACGGACGTCAGTCGCCCCGGTGCCCGCTGCTTCTTCCCGTGCGGGCAGTGGCTGAGCCGCGACGAGGGCGACGGGCGCACGGTGCGCGACCTGCTGGGCAGCGCTGACCCCATGCACGCGCCGCGCAAACGTGAGGGCGGGCAGCACCCACGGGGGACGGCCACACTGGGCGAGCGTGCAGAGTGTCCGTGAATCTCCATTCACTTATTCACAGCTCTATGAATCTCCATTCACTTATTCAACGCTCTATGAATCTCCATTCACTTGGGTGCAGCTCTATGAATCCCCATTCACTTATGCGGGGCTCTGTGAATCTCCATTCACTTGTGTGCAGCTCTATGAATCTCCATTCACTTATTCACAGCTCTATGAATCTCCATTCACTTGTGTGCAGCTCTATGAATCCCCATTCACTTATCGCAGCTCTATGAATCTCCATTCACTTGGGTGCAGCTCTATGAATCCCCATTCACGTATGCGCGGCTCTGTGAATCTCCATTCACTTGTGTGCAGTTCTATGAATCTCCATTCACTTATTCACAGCTCTATGAATCTCCATTCACTTGGGCGCAGCTCTATGAATCTCCATTCACTCACTCAGATCAGCGACCGTGGCCCCAAATGCACGCTCACGCAGGAGGCGCCAGCCGTATTCACCCGCCGAGCCCAGGTGCCATCGAATGGCCTTTCCCAACCTCGCGTGCAGGCGTCAACTCGGCAGTTGTATTTCAAATGCCGTACAAGAAACGAAGAACGATTTAACCTCCGTTCCCCCCGGCGTGCAGTCACGGAAAAAATCAGAAGCGCTGCAAAGTGTGCAGAGCCTCCATGCAACTCTTGGTTCACGTCTGCAAGGGGCAGGTCAGGCATAGTGCCAGTTCTGTGGTGTCCTGGCGAAACTTAATAACCCACAGGCAGGAACCCAGAACCTGTTCCATTGCCACTGGCCACGGCCAACGGCAATCAAACTGAGGTGCCACCATTATTACTACGCCGGTGGCTATGCGGCCAATAAAACTGTCGCCACTTTTTGGGAAGTTACCATTGAAATTGACCGAGCCCCCCGTCATGGGCAATGTTGATTCTTTTCACCGCTGGCCCCTGCGGCCACCGGCAAAAGACATCTCTGCTCTCGTTCTAGCCGGAAGATGCGTGGATTCGACCGCTCCGGTTTGTTCGATTTGACAGCGCGCGCACTGTAGGTTCCTTTTTTTCGTTTAGCTTTGCGTCCCTCACCTGCATCTCCATTTATCCGATTAGCACGGTTGGCTACGTACGGTGCGAAATAACTTCAACGTGCGTGCACACCACAGGCTCCCTGGCTTGCGGGTTTGCACGAGCGTAACGCACGGGGCAATGCCGCCGCTGGTGGTTGCTCAGGGAAACGCGCGCGGACAAACTCCGCTAAATCTTTGCGCAACAACTCCAGAGGTCAGGGCCAAAGGTCGCCGCACAGAGAGAGAGAGACGCCACGGAGAGAGACGCGCACCGCACCCCTCCCCTTTAGAGCTGCGCTGCTCCTGTGACATCAACGCGGCCACAACTTGCCAACGGCCACTGTGTGCACGGGCTTAAAAAGATGGTAAATAAAGGCAGGTGTGGAGAGCGCGGTGCTAATCGGAAAAAAGCACCGTTGTGGCCCAAGCGTGTCGGGACTTGCCTTCAAAAATAATACCACGAAGCTTTGCTCGCGAAGGAACGGTGTGAGGTGTCACTGTATGAGATGCCGAAATCACGCGCTTAGGTTTTCGTTGCCGTATCGATACGACCTAATGCAGTCGAGTTAGTTTTATATATATGTATATACAAATGTACATGGTAATATGTCTGAAACATGACTTTTTTTATTCACGTTATATATTTCCGTGTATTTGTTTGGCCTCTGTTGTAGACACGGCACGGTTAACTGTCCATGGTCGCGAAAAGCCGACGTGTTAAACTGACGGTTAACTATCGCCATCATACCGACGGTTGCGCTCCTCTGGCGCAGATAACCGCCGCTCCGGTTGACCGTCACACGCGACCGCGGCTAGAGCCGGCCGAATGGTTTTTCTCGCGCCGCGATCGATGGCGAATCGCTCGCCGCGCATTTGCCGCACGCAGACCCGGGGGTGGAGGGGGGGGGTGCCGCTCGCCGATTGCGTGCGGAGGCGCTGGCGCTGGCGCCGTCCTCCTGCTGGAGAAAGCGCGTCGCTCGCGGTAACTCACCCCGGTCGTTGTTCACCCCGGTTCCTGCTGCTGCTGCTGCTGCTGCTGATTCCCGGTCCTCCTCTCCCCACGCAGCCAAGAAGTACGAGGTGACGGTGTTCACGGGGGACGAGCGCGGCGCCGGCACGGACGCCGACGTCTCCATCAACATCTTTGGGGAGCTGGGAGACACAGGTCGGTGCATGTCCAGTGCGTGAGTGAGTGGGAGTGTGGTGGTTAGTGCACTGCGCTATGAACCCGGGGACCCGAGTTCGATTCATGCTCATGGCCACTGCCAGTGACGATTCTCTGAACCAGTCCTGGGCCTCCCCCTAGGATCGAGTCAGCGTCAAATGAGTACCTAGTGCAGTGTGTAAACATCACCACGAGGGAGACAAAGGCGGCCGGACGTGGTTCTTGCTGTCCACCCCCTGGTGTGCCATGCCGGCCTCAATAGGTGCTCGCGAACAGCACTTGCTGCTAGCGTCTGTTAAAGCTATATGGGGGATCTTAGTCTTTGTTTTCTTAACCAATCTGAAACAATGAACTATTTTTTTTTTATTTTAAAACTAAATACTAAACTGAACATGTTATTTTTATATTACCAGGTAAGGCCTACTGAGCTACATCGCTCTTTTTCAGAAGCGACCTGACCACAAATGATAGCTCAATGAAGAGGCTTATCACATGGAAATGTATCACGTGTTGATTTTAAATGTGGGGGGAAAAACCGGGAGGTTCCGGAGAAAAATCTATGTGGCTACAGGGAGAAAGACACTCAAACTTTAAATATACAACAGGCGTCAGGGTCGGGATAAAACCCACAACCTCCTGTATACCAGGCGAGGTAGTTAACATCTCGCCACCGTGGCACGCTCGTTGAATGTGCGTGCTGCGCGCAGGGGAGAGGCGGCTGGACAGCAGACGGAACAACTTTGAGCGCGGCAAGCAGGACAAGTTCACGCTGGACTCCCCGAATCTGGGACGTCTCACCAAGATCTCCATCGGCCACAACAACCGCGGGCCTTCTCCTGGGTGGTTCCTCGACAAGGTGGGTCCCACCTCGTCGCCCCACCGCGTCGCGACCCGGACGCCGCTCTGCACCTCGCTGCGAGCATCCGCGGCCCCGCAGTGCCTCGTCGAGAAAGAGAAGACTCGCCAAATGTTTCCAGAGGACGTTGAAGACTAGGTCCCCCCCCCCCATCCCGAGCTGTTGCGACGTTGGCATCTGCCCTTACCACGGGCCACTGCCTGGCTCTCGGTTGAACAGAGATGTGCGCGTAAAAACGATGCGTGCAAAAAAAATATGAATTTTTTTTAAAAATTGTATTAAAATGTTAACAAAAATTTACGGCCATCGGCCATTTTTATCTTCCTCTTCGCGTAATCAGCCGCGGCGTTGAATGCAATCGCGACGCAAAGTTGCGTCATGTTGACGGTGTGGTGTGGCGTGGGGTTGTGTTGTGCGCCGAGCGCTGCAGGTGGTGGTGGACGACAGTGACGCCGGCGTCGTTTACCAATTCCCGGTACGGCGCTGGCTGTCGGAGGACGAGGACGATGGGCGGATTCGGCGCGAGATCCCCGTGGCCGGCGGTAGCGTCACCGACGGAGGCGCCGGTAGATCCCACGCGGCGCCCTCCACATGTCAAACCCTAAACCTGACCCTTCACTTGTCAAACCCTAAACCTGAACCTCCACGTGTCAAACCCTAAACCTGAATCTTCACGTGTCAAACCCTAAACCTGAATCTTCACGTGTCAAACCCTAAACCTGAACCTCCACTTGTCAAACCCTAAACCTGAACCTCCACTTGTCAAACCCTAAACCTGAACCTTAACTTGTCAAACCCTAAACCTGTATCTTCACTTGTCAAACCCTAAACCTGAACCTCCACGTGTCAAACTCTAAACCTGAATCTTCACGTGTCAAACCCTAAACCTGAATCTTCACGTGTCAAACCCTAAACCTGACCCTTCACTTGTCAAACCCTAAACCTGAACCTCCACGTGTCAAACCCTAAACCTGAATCTTCACGTGTCAAACCCTAAACCTGAATCTTCACGTGTCAAACCTTAAACCTGAATCTTCACTTGTCAAACCCTAAACCTGACCCTTCACGTGTCAAACCCTAAACCTGAACCTACACGTGTCAAACCCTAAACCTGAATCTTCACGTGTCAAACTCTAAACCTGACCCTTCACTTGTCAAACCCTAAACCTGAACCTTCACGTGTCAAACCCTAAACCTGAACCTCCACGTGTCAAACCCTAAACCTGAATCTTCACGTGTCAAACCCTAAACCTGAATCTTCACGTGTCAAACCCTAAACCTGAACCTCCACTTGTCAAACCCTAAACCTGAACCTCCACTTGTCAAACCCTAAACCTGAACCTTAACTTGTCAAACCCTAAACCTGTATCTTCACTTGTCAAACCCTAAACCTGAACCTCCACGTGTCAAACTCTAAACCTGAATCTTCACGTGTCAAACCCTAAACCTGAATCTTCACCTGTCAAACCCTAAACCTGACCCTTCACTTGTCAAACCCTAAACCTGAACCTCCACGTGTCAAACCCTAAACCTGAATCTTCACGTGTCAAACCCTAAACCTGAATCTTCACGTGTCAAACCTTAAACCTGAATCTTCACTTGTCAAACCCTAAACCTGACCCTTCACGTGTCAAACCCTAAACCTGAACCTCCACGTGTCAAACCCTAAATCCTGAATCTTCACGTGTCAAACTCTAAACCTGACCCTTCACTTGTCAAACCCTAAACCTGAACCTTCACGTGTCAAACCCTAAACCTGAACCTCCACATGTCAAACCCTAAATCTGAACCTCCACGTGTCAAACCATAAACCTGACCCTTCACTTGTCAAACCCTAAACCTGAATCTTCACGTGTCAAACCCTAAACCTGAACCTTCACGTGTCAAATCCTAAACCTGAACCTTCACGTGTCAAACCCTAAACCTGACCCTTCACGTGTCAAACCCTAAACCTGAATCTTCACTTGTCAAACCCTAAACCTGAATCTCCACGTGTCAAACCCTAAATCTGAATCTTCACCTGTCAAACCCTAAACCTGAACCTCCACTTGTCAAACCCTAAACCTGACTCTTCACGTGTCAAACCCTAAACCTGAACCTCCATGTGTCAAACCCTAAACCTGAACCTCCACGTGTCAAACCCTAAACCTGAACCTTAACTTGCCAAACCCTAAACCTGAACCTCCACCTGTCAAACCCTAAACCTGAATCTTCACGTGTCAAACCCTACACCTGAACCTTCACTTGTCAAACCCTAAACCTGAACCTCCACTTGTCAAACCCTAAACCTGAATCTTCACGTGTCAAACCCTAAACCTTAACTTGTCAAACCCTAAACCTGAACCTTCACTTGTCAAACTCTAAACCTGAACCTTCACGTGTCAAACCCTAAACCTGAACCTCCACGTGTCAAACCCTAAACCTGAGCCTCCACGTGCCAAACCCTAAACCTGAACCTCCACGTGTCAAACCCTAAACCTGAATCTTCACGTGTCAAACCCTAAACCTGAACCTCCACGTGTCAAACCCTAAACCTGAACCTCCACGTGTCAAACCCTAAACCTGAACCTCCACGTGTCAAACCCTAAACCTGAACCTCCACGTGTCAAACGAAAACGAAACCTTTTTTTATTTTATACAGGTAAGGCCCACTGTGGAATTGTGAGCGATCGGCAAATGCCACAGGCAGACAAGTCTAACTATCTCGACTAATCCCTTCCCCCCGCTCCCGCTCCACCCGCCAGGAGGCACCCTGTACACGCTGCGGGTGCTGACGGGGGACAAGCGCGGCGCCGGCACGGACGCGCGCGTCTACGCGGTGCTGCACGGCGCCGGCGCCGGCGGCGCGCGGCCGGGCAGCAGCGGGCGCCTCGAGCTGCGGGGCGGCTCCTTCGAGAGGGGCGGCACGGACGTGTTCCAGCTGGAGGCCGGGCGCGACGTGGCCAGCCCGCTGGCGCGGCTCACCGTCGGGCATGACAACTCGGGCGCCGCGCCGGGCTGGTTCTGCGAGAAGGTACGGGCTGCGTGGCGCAGCCGCGGCGTCATTTGTTTGTTGCATGGATGTACGTTGAACTGCTTTCGCACCGTACGTAACCAGCCGTGCAAATCGGAGGTGTGCGGGGAAGGACAACAAACTAAACACTAAAAAGCAGTTCTAAAGAGACGAGTTGTCAATCTATATTTAAAAGTGCATAGTTCCAGTGGCTCGCCGTTGTTGTCGTCGTCGCTTGTCGTTGCCGTCGTCGTTTCGTGTCCGCGGCCACGTCCGATTCGCGCGGTCGGCTAAAAGGAGTTCAGTTCAACGAAGGTGAGCGCGATCGTTGATCTCGTCCGCGGGGCTCAGGTGGTGGTGCTGTGCCCCGGCACGGGCGTGGAGCAGACGTTCCCGTGCGGCCGCTGGCTGGACCGCCGCGAAGGGGACGGCCTCATCGAGTGCGAGCTCCTGGAGGACTTGTCGCTGCGCAAGACGGTGGCCAAACGTAGGGGCGATGTACTCGACCGGTCGGACTTACTTGGCGCGAAGGTTGCGAGACATTGTAATCGATCGAGGAAAGCCTCCATGAGACTTGAGACTCTTGTTGCAGAAAGTTATTATTTTGGGATAGCGTGACACGCAGGCTTTCACTGGTAGGTCTCTTCACAATTCTGGCAAAATCGCCCGATGATGCTAGATGTAATTACCAGCGAAACGTCAAAGTACTGAAATTGTAAATTTCGTGGATTTACTCTCTAACACACCGGTGGGCTGAAGTCGTACCGAATTGGAACGTTTTGCTTACGTGACAAACCTTACTAATTGGCTGTGTCGGGTGGTGATGGGTTAACGAAACATTTATACTTACGTGATCCAACCCCGATAAAACTTTACTATGAACATTTTTAGATACTTAGCCAAATAGCTTTTTTTTAATATATAATAGTTTTAATAAGTTGCAGTCCCTACCGGGTGAGGGAGTTGATATTTCGCCACCGTGGAGCCCTCGTTGTTTCGGTCAACGATCGCCGCTCGTCATCGTTCGGGCGCCGGTGCCCAGCCCGCGTCCACCGCCACATCTGTGCTTCTGTCGCCGCGCTCTCAGGGCAGCCCAGCTCCGTGTGGGTCCACACGAGCGACGTGCGCAACGCCGGCACGGACGCCAACGTCAGCTTCCAGCTGTACGGGGAGCGCGGGCACTCCGAGGAGATCCTCCTCGACAACAAATCGGACAACTTCGAGCGCGGACAGACGGACAAGTTCACCGTAGGTGTCGTCGGGAGCACGCCCAGATCCTGGGTGCTCATCTGGGCGGCCGCCTGTGATAAAGTTGGCGTCTAGGAAGTTAAACTTAAAACTATTTAAATTTGAACTATTTTCTATTTTACCAGGTAAGGCCCACTAAGCTCTTTTTCAGAAGTGACCTGGCCACAGATGTGGAAATGCAAAGCAGCCAAATAGTCTTGAACGCATGTTTTTTAAATTGATAAAATAAAATAACACAATAATATTCTCACGACGTTTTGGCCACAACACAAGCGGCCGCTTTTATCAATTTATTATTTTATTCTCATTCTACGTGATTTTACCGAAAGAACCAAAGAAGATGAATCATTGCAGTCACGAAAGCTTTAAATCGAAATTTAAATGTTTTTTAAAGTTCATAGTGGCAGCTTGGTCACTGATGACAGTTAAAAAAAAACTTTCTAAATGTTTTTCTTGTTTAATCTGGAGGAAAAAGGTCCAGATCTGAGGATTTAAAACATACATTTCCCTTTGACTGCCATGCAATGAAGATCTCTAAAGCGGCAGATGTGGGAAAGTGTGGCACCGCTATTGTGGACAGGAAGCTGTGCGAAGCAGTCATCCTGTGATATCACCTTCGATGGGCCAATCTCTCCACGCCTTTGCAGGTCGTGAGGATTATTTCTGTCCATCGTTATGTACCAAGGTTTGGGAAACTGCAGGTGACCTGTAAAGCTGAGCCCACGAGGTTCGCGTCCCCGCTGTCGTGTGTCGCGTGCTGTTGCCGGGGATGCAGGTGGAGCTGCCGGACCTGGGGCCGCTGTACAAGATGCGCGTGTGGCACGACTGCACGCACCCCTTCGCTGGCTGGCACCTGGACAAGGTGTGGCAGGCACTGGTTGCGACTCGCCCGCGTGTGTGTCGTTGTACCTGGTGCGGTGTGTAAACATTTGGGGAGACAAAGGCGGTTGGGCGTCGTGGTGGCCACTCACCCCCTCGGGGGCTGTCCCGGCCTTCATAGGTGCTCGTTAACAGCACTTGCCCCAGCAGTCTGTTCAGGCTACATGGGGGAACTTTGTATTTTGTGTCGTATATTTATGGTAGGGAATGGTGGCATAGTGGTTAGCGCACTGCGCCACGAATTTGGTGACCCGAGTTCGATTCCTAGCCGCGACCGACATCCAGTGGTGAGCGATATCTTAATTTATTCTGGGCCTCCCCTAGGTCAATTCAACCTTAAATGAGTACCTGGTGTGGTGTAACAAATATCGGCCGGACATGGCGGTGGCCGCATAACCCCTCGTGCACCGTGCTGTGTGTAGTGAACATCGCCACAAGGGAGACAAAGGCGGCCGGGCGCGGTGATGACCACCGATCCCTTCGTGTGCCGTGTTATCGAGTAGCAAGTGTTACTTGCTAACAGCACTTGCCCCAAAAGTCTGTTAAGGCTACACGGGGGGATCTCTGTGTGCGTGACTGCGCGTCACCCGCCACTGCAGGTGACCGTGTGGATCGCGGGTGGACGTGAGCGCTACACGTTCAGGTGCGGGCGCTGGCTGGACGTGAACGAGGGCGACGGGGAGATCGTGCGGGAGCTGCCGGCCGAGGGCCCCTCCGTCCGCCAGCCACTGCCAGGTGCGTGCAAGCCCACGGCCGGCTCGTATAAAATACCCACAATACTTTGCACAGCACTGTCGGAAATGTTTTACAATACTTTGCAAGACATGGTCGGAAGACCCACGATGCCTCACAAGGCACCAGGAGGAGTGTCCGTAATGCGTGGATAGGCTGAACGAGATGTTGAATCCAGCAGCATCCCTGAACGGTGTCACGGGAGGTAAGTGGGCCTGCAAATGCGAATTCAACCCCCGATGAAGCCTGGAGAGCTGAACGGAGTTCAAGATAACTCAGAAACCACTTGTGAAAGACCCAACGCAGAAGATCCCTGGGTTCGGTGTCCCACGAAGCTCCTATTCCACCCTAAATCGCATCCGCACAAACCATGGCAGATGCGTATACCCGATGCATAAATGGACAATTAAAAACTCTCCAGTGTGCAACTTTGGTCACTCAGAGCAGACCATACAATGTGTAACGACGCAACGCCCCGATCCACAAATAAGGAGACATCACAGCCATACACTCCGCTGCTCCTGACCCAGTTATGTCGCTTGACCACCTGAATGCATCTACATGAGCCGTACGAAAGAAGAAGTGGGCCTGCTCGCCCGCCTGTACCCGCTTTCCTGCTGACCTGCCTGCCGCAGGGGTGCCTCGGTTGGATCGTGGCGCTAAAGCCCCCCTCCCTTTCCCCACCCGTCGTGTCCGGCCGCGCGCAGTCGTGCAGTACGCGGTGCTGGTGGAGACGGGGAAGTGCGCCGGTGCCGGCACGGACGCCGCCGTCTCGTTGTGCCTCTACGGCGAGCGCGGGGACACGGGGAACCGCGTGCTGCAACGGAGCTCGTCGCACCGCAACAAGTTCGAGCGCGGGAACGTGAGTCCCCCCCCCCCGGAGCCACCGCCGTGCCGTGCGGACTCGGCGTGGGGAGACTTGGTCTCGCACGACCGATTGCCCGGAGGTTTTAGGCGTAGAGCAACGTGCGGCCGCACGGAGAAGGCGGTGTCCGTGCCGGCACCGCGCACGTCCCCCGTGCGAGCCGTCACGCTCGCAGTTCATCACTGGGCAGCATTATTACGTAATTACTTTAGTTGTTTACAGTTCCGGTTCATACGACCTCACGGTGACAATGCCGTTACGGTGCTCTGTGATTGCACACGCTCCGCACTGCGTTCTGTGCGCGTTGGATTGCTACCGTCCTCACGTTAACCTAAGCTTCCAACACGATCGTGGCAAAAAGGCGTTGTTGTGCCGTGCTCCTACGCTCCCACATCTGTGCTCCACGCCTCCACCAACCCGCACCGGCCAAAATGGCTGTTCCCACCCGGCATGGCGCAGAGAGACACCCATCCAGCAGTGGATTCACACGGGGGGAGGGTCCTGTGCGTGCATGCGGGCGTGTGCGCGCGTGTCCGGCGCAGACCGACGAGTTCGTGCTGGAGGCCGTGAGCCTGGGCCGGCTCGACCGAGTGAGAATCGGCCATGACGGCAAGGGAGCCAGCGCCGGGTGGTTCCTGGAGCGAGTCGAGGTGCGGGACAAGAGTCGGCCAGAGGGCCCGGCCCAGGTGTTCCCCTGCAGCAGGTGAGGCTCCCTCCCTAATTTATTCATTCTTTCATTTTTGTTTCTATTTACTCACTGCGCTACCTGATCTCGTCAAGGAGAAGTAAACCATCACGCGAACTCCCGTCATCCTCGCAGCAACAGCAGCATGGGTTTTTGGCTAGCCATCGAATTAAAACCGTACGTAGCCAACTGTGCTAATCGTAGGTGTGGGGAAAGGACAACAAACTAAACACCAAAAAATCAGTTCTAAAGAAATTAGTAAAAAAAAGAATTGCTCCAGCGGCTTCCTAATATCAGAAGGAAGAGCGTTCCAGATGGCCGCAGAAGCGCATCTGAAAGTGCGCGATGTGGTGACGACTGCCTTTGTTTGATGGTTAAAATTTCTATTCACAAGGATGAGCTGGGTGCATCCGTATGGCTAGAAGGTCACGAGTTGGCACAGCGAGCAGCACACGCTCGCTCGAGTCTATGAACCCATAACACCGTCTCAGTTTCGTGACCTCCATCCTCAAGTGTTGTGGTGATGTCACCGGCATTAGTGGCGAAGTGACTTTTGTTGTTGTTAGGAACGGCTTATTTTGCGATGTGACCGAATGTTATGCATTTGGGAACATCACTTTCATTTTAAGTAGTAATTGACATTTAACGAGTATACAAGCCAGAACTCTGATACGTACATCTCTATTAGAGTTACACAGCTATACTTTTACTTTATAGTTTATTTCTCATTAATACAGACCAGGTGGAAACCCACTTGGGTTTGGAGCCCAGACATGGTCAGACTGAAATCTGCCATCATCGCAGGAAAGAGAGGTTTATTTCAATTGAACTTTGATAAACAATATAAAGTATGTCAACACATTCGCACATCTCCAAATGCTGTACAGGAAGCAACATTAGCTTCGCTGGCGATAGACCGGAATCGCAGTCAAAGAAGCACTTACACAAAGCTCCAGCCAAGCAAATGGGGCTGAAGTTCACCCCTGTTGGTGACCCGAACTCACCGGTAGAAATTCCACCTTCCCATGGTAGAGGACAACCCTCGACTGCGTGTGTGCGTGTGCTCGCTGCAGGTGGCTATCGGAGGGTGAGGACGACGGACAGATCGTAAGGGAGCTGCTGCCCTCAGGACACTCGCAGATTCTCAAGAGTAAGAGGCTCACACGTGCAGGTGGTTGGGAGGCTCACAGGGCTAAGACCAAAACTAAACGGATTTTATTTTACCTGGTGAGGCCCACTGAGCTATACAGCTCTTTTTTTTCAGAAGCAACCTGGCTATCAGTAATGATAGCGCGACAAAGTGGCATATCGTGTGGAAATTTATAGCAGCCAAATGCTTTGAGCGCACGTTGATAATTATAAATGTGGAGGGAAAAACCGGAGGACCCGGAGAAAAATCCACGTGACAACGGGGAGAGAGACACCGCAAACTCCAAGTATATAACAGGAGTCAGGGTCAGAATCGAACCCACGATCTCGCCACGGTGGCTAGGAGATGCTAACTACCTCGCGGTTTGTGGTTAATCCGGGTCTCCAAGTGCAGCGCGTTGGTGGGCCCAGCCCCAGTCACGTAAGACCGCACGCATTAAGAGCAACTCGTAAAAGTTTTGTTTGTGGCTTAATTTGACTGACTGACGATGATTGACTATGACAGCCCAGCGTCCTGTCTCCCCATCCCCGCGGTCCCGTGCGATCGTTGCCGGCAGACATCAGCTACCACGTGAAGGTGCGCACGGGGGACGTGCGCAACGCCGGCACGGACGCCAACGTGTACGTGCGTCTCGTCGGCGAGGCGGGCGAGACCGCAAAGATCCCGCTCCGCACCTCCGCCAACAAGACCGGAAACAAGTTCGAGCGTGGACGCGTCGACGTGTTCACCATCGAGGGCGGCGACATTGGCAAGGTGCGGCCGCGGCGTCGATTTCGAGGGAGGTGCTTTGTAGTCCTTCCCGCGTCGCCGACACGCCAGGCAACCCTCCACAATAACCCGGGTCCTACGGTTATTCCCTCCACATTTGGAATCGACGTGCGTTGAGAGTATTTTGGCTGCTAAACATTTCTACGTGATGATCCACTCTGGTGAGCAATCATTTGTGGCCCAGGTGGCTTCTGAAAAATAGCTCTATAGCTCGGTGGACCTTACCTGCTAAAATAATGCAAACTGTTTAACATCATTGAGTTTTAACCCGGCGCGACCTCTTGTCGCGGTCTCGTGCCATCAGTCCGATCTCTTCCCACGAGTCGCTACACCCTTCCAAGCCGTTCAGTTTGCAGCTGATCAGCGTTCCGCTGCCGTTTCCCAGCACCTGCACAGAGAAATATCTAGCGATGAAACCCAATTGAACGTGGCTGCCTTTTTGCGATACGAAACTAATTCGATTAGCCGTGCGCATGGCCACCCGCTAGGCGAGTCGCCGTTGACTGGGCTGCGGGCGCGGCGGTTGTGACGGTCGCTGACAGGTGCGCCGCCTGGTGATCGGACACGACGACTCGGGGCCCGGCGCCGGCTGGTTCCTGGAGGGCGTGGAGGTGGAGGTGCCCGCACAGGGGCTCGCGTACACGTTCCCCTGCGGGCGCTGGCTCGCCTCGGACGAGGGCGACCGCCGTACGGAGGTGGAGCTGCAGCCGGGGCAGGTCCAAGAGCGCAACAAGCGTACGTGCCTCCTCCTCCTCCTCCTCCTCCATCACCGCCACCACCAGAGCCACATTACTACTCGGGTGGGAGATGCCTTGCTGGCAGTGTGGACGAGCTCACACCCCCTGGCTGTTTAGTACACCTATGTATTTAGCCTTTTCGTTAATCCACTGCTGGATGAGGGTGCCTCGCCATGCCGTGCGGGATCGTATTTTTCCCCGCACTGATCGGTGCCGTGTTGGTAAAAAGCCCCGGGGGAGAGAACGCACGTGGGGGGCAGCCGAGTACAGCCCAATGGGTTTTGCTCTGTGCTGCCCGCGATGCCAGTAAATCCCACGCTTCCACGCAGTGATAAACTACGAGGTGACGGTTCGCACGGGGGACGTGCGCGGCGCCGGGACGGACGCCGCCGTCTTCGTGCAGCTGTACGGCGAGCGCGGCAAGACGGAGCAGAAGACGCTGGCCAGCCGCTCCGACAGCTTCGAGAAGGGCGCCACCGACGTCTTCAAGGTGCGTCCGTGTGTCCACCACCACCGTCATAAAAACGACGACAGCCACCGTCCGCCACTTAAGTGGCGGTAACGACGGCGTCACCGCGGCGCCTGTGCCACGCCAGGTGCACTTTTGAGGCCACGTGAAGTGTCGAAGGCTCGCTGACAGGTCATGCGACACACCCAGGTGAGATGACGAGCAGATGCACCGGCTTTGCCACCTCCTGCACCAACTTACTGAATTTTAGCCGCCCGGCTCTCCGCTCGTTATTGTGTTCCTCCGCGCTCCGATGTTGCTGGAGGTCGACTGCCTCCAGCTGCCCAGTAGCGCCCTTGACGAGCCTCCTCCATAGAGGCCGATCTTGACACCGCCGGTACCTGTCTTCGGCAAGTCCAACCAGCACCACTCGCAGTAGCAGCAGCAAGCTGTGTGGTGCAGAGCAAAGTGGTGACACCTGTCACACCTGTTCCCTGTTTACTTGCGGTGATCGCGCAGGTATCTTTGTTCAGGGTTCACAAAATGCTGAATAAGGGCCTCTGAAAGAGGCCCCGTTGGGCCTTCTGCAGATTACCGTCCATTTAGCAGACCATCGCTGCTTACACCTCGTATGACGCTGGGGCAGGTGCTTGGATGGACTACAGCAAAAAATTGGAACGGTTGACGTTAGATGTGATGTGAGGCGCTTTGAGTCGACAGGAGATACCGGTTTCAGCGAATAGCTTCGCTAACCCACCTGCATGGGTTTAACCCAGCTGCATGTATGTTGAACTTCTTTCGCGCCGTACGTAGCCAACCGTGCCAATCGGAATGTGCGAAATTAGTGTCGTCAGCTCGCAATTGCGTCGATTTTTTTCTCTTGCAACTTCGCTTTCCTCCGGCTTGCAAAATAAGAGCGAGAAAATTGGATGAACGTGCCAATCAACGAGCTTTCCGTTGATGAGATTCAATATTATTATTATACACAAGAATCAATGGATGCTTCCATAGCGTACTGCTTCGCACACTGGACCTGCAATCCAGAGGTCGCAGGGTTTGGTTTGATCTCTGAGCGTAGGAGATGTTGTTCAAGTTTAAACAGGAAGGTTTATAGAGCGCACAATAACGCGTGTTTGGAAGGCTACAAGTAGACATCTCTGTAATCGGTCAATTGAGTCCATGAGTCAGATGTGGTTGCTAAAACAGGAACCACTTTGTAAGCGATCAACGGTCGCCATGCCCACTATGTTGACCCTGTAAAGACAAAAAAAATATATAATTTACCGTTCTAACTCAGTCTATGAGTTGAAATCAATATAGCCAGCCGAAATGTGCAATACGGTGTAAAAAACCTTTCGGAGCTAGACTGCGTAAGAAGCCGGAAAGTCTGCTAAAGTAAAGAAATAAGCCCCGACCCAAGAAGACCGGGCGCTACTTAAACTGTGCACAGTGCACGTGGAGTTTACGTGCAAATCGCGTGGGGCGCTTTTTAAAAATAATATAAAGTGTTGTACTGTACTATAAATGCAGTCGACGTGTTAACAACCACCAATTCTAAAGCTATTTACAGTGTTGGCCTTGTCTGGTGTGAACCTATCTATGGCGCTAATAGCGCCGCTCGTTCCGAGTGCTTTGCGAAGGATTTCCCCCTCACGCTCGCTCGCTCGCTCTATAATCGTCACTTTGTCAGCTTAAGGTGTTTTACATTTACTTTACATCAAACGAACTCTTCCAAGTCCACGGCTATTAGCCGCACGTGGCACCGTCACTGCGTTCAACAATACAACGCCTGATTGTTTCACCTTTGAAAAAAGGTGAAACAACAGCTGTTACCGCACGAGTAGGTTTCGTCATCTCCGCATGTCTTGAAATGCGTTTCCGTTGTTGTTATTTGTCTTCCCCCAAACGTTTAAAATAAAAAAGTACTTAACAAAAAATAGTTTCGCGACGTTCCTGGGTGGGCGTGAACCACCGACCTTTACAGTTCACAGCAGAACACGCTAGCTAATTGCGCCGCAGAGACAGCTACAAGGGATCACTTGCTGTTCCATGTTTAAGGAGTTTATGAAATTCGCAGTCTTAAAAAACAAATCTAGAATAGACTTTCTGCAAGCAAAAAAAAATACACTCAGAAATGTCGTCCCTGGGTGGACTTGAACCAGCGACCTTTTGGTTCACAGCCAAACGCACTAACCAATTGCGCCATAGAGACAGCTGCAGGGCATTGATTGCTGTTCCGTATTTAACGATTTAATGACATTCGCTTTCGTAAAAACTAAACGAGTATTGGCTTTGGGGCCGTCCATAAATGACGTCCCGCACCTGGGGGGGGGGGGGAGGGGGGTCAGACATTTGTGACGAGGGGGGTGAGAAACGTGACGTCACATCAAAATGCGCAACTTTAAATAAATATAGACAACACGTTCTACTTAATTAAATAGACTTTTTAATAAATGTTTTCTCCTACAACATCAGAGTGCAGCGGCACATTAAATACGCACTACAATGACAATAGTTTAAAGCGATTTGAAACATGTTTTTTTTTGGGGGGGGGGGGGGCAGAGCTTTGTGACGTCATATTTGCGGGGTGGGTCTGACTTTTTGTGACGCCATGTGACGAGGGGAGAGGGGTCAAAAATCGTCCAAAATCGCGTGACGTCATTTATGGACGGCCCCTTTGTGAAATAAAAAAGACTTTCAAACAGCATCTCTGGGTGGGCTTAAAACCCACCAACCTTTCGGCTCACCGGCTCGTTGATGATATTCAGTTTTAATGAAATAAAATCGAACAAACGAAAATCCCTCCAACATCCTCCCCCTCCCCATCATGGGCTTGAACCACCAAACTTTTGGTCGTCACATCTTCAAGGCTCTTTAATGGCACTCACTGTATTAAACATAAAATCTAGTATTATCATTATTATTTACTCTGTGCACGCAAAAACATACGCTCACAACCACCAACCAGCCCGGGCGCGCTCACCGATTGCGCCACAGACGGCAGGCTGCGAGAGACGACGTCCCCGGCACGGGACGCGTGCGTTGAACTTCTTTCGTGCCGTACGTGGCCGTGACGCGTGCTGCTGCTGCTGCTGCTGAGCCCTGTTTAGCGGTCAAGTTGACTTTGGACGGATTTGACTGACGCAGCACGAGAGTGCGAGCCGAGGCAGGCGGATCTCACGCGGCAAACTCCAACACCGTTCACTCTCCTCGCCGCGCCACCACCGTCGCGCCCCGGATTTATAATTATGGCTTCACCTTCTACTCCCGCCCCCTCCGCCCGGTCAGGTAAACACACAAAACTGTAACAAAATGTAATTCACCATTGCACCACAACGCATTTTTTTTTGCTTCCATAATACAGGTTTTTTTTTTGTAAGGGAGGGGGGGGTTAGATCGAGTAACTATATAAACGTGTCGTTAAACCCACCCCTTGTTAAATACTACGTGAAAAAAAACCCATATCTACGGTAGAGGATGAAAGTGTTGGGTTGTTTGGGTGGCACGTGGCAACAGTCAACGCGACGCCGTTGTGCCGCACAGAAACGGTGTCTGTGGTCTTTGCAGACGATGAAAAAAAACGTTTGAGTTGTCAATCTCCCAACAATTCAACCAACAAATTACTTTCCAGCATCCACCTATTAACTTTCCACCTATATACTGTCCTTTTATGTGGCTGCACATTCGTTTGTTCATCACCACACACCACCTTGTTTTAAAAAAAAAGTAAATGTTAACTTCGTCCCTGGGTGGGCTTGAACCACCAACCTTTCGGTTAACAGCCGAACGCGCTAACCAATTGCGCCACAGAGACAGCTGCAAGAAGCCACCTGCAGTTCCATGTTTGAGGAATCAATGACATTCGATGTCGTCAAATCGAACTGAGTATTGACTTTGCGTTATCAAAATATACTCACGCCACAGAAATCGCAGGTAACAAACTCAGCTGGCCGTGCGGTCTCCAAAGCCCACCGATGATATTCGCTCGGAGCTAACCGCAACACGAGGCACACAAATGCGACGCACAGTTGGGGACTTGTAAATGAAAAACTCCGTGCAGACTTATTGTCGGACAAAGGGAGGAACGTCAGTCAGCAGGTCATTCACTTCCTCTAAGGTAATTGTAACTTTCATTGACATATACTTTTTAGCGTTATACTTTGTTTACACATGCACCGTGTACATTATGCAATGGCCCACAGTCTGTTGTATTTTAAGGATAACTCGTGACCCACATGTTTTGTGAAACATTCCAATTCATTAAAATGCAATTAACTGAAAAGAAAGGCACTGGCCTGCTTTTAAATGCGTCCACTAAATACGTTTGCAAACATTTGTGAACATGACATGGTGTCTATTAGATTACCCAACAACTTAACCTTTGCAACAAAAAATAGAAAAAAAAACCTCGTCCCTGGGTGGGCTTGAACCACCAACCTTCCGGTTAACAGCCGAACGCGCTAACCAATTGCGCCACAGAGACAGCTGCAGGGACACTCAATCTCGATTTGGTGCTTTCGTGACTGCAGGAATTAATTTTGATTTAAAGCTTTCGTGACTGCAGTAATTCATATTCTTAGCTCTTTCGGTAAAGTCACGTTGAAGGGAAACAATAAAATAATAAAATATATATAAAAATTCTCACGACGTTTCGACCATAACACAAACGGTCATCATCAGCCTACACAGCCTACACCTGATGATGACCGGTTGTGTTATGGTCGAAACGTCGTGAGAATTTTTAAAATTGTTTTTATATATTTTATTATTTTATTGTTTCCCTTCAACGTGACTTTACCGAAAGAGCTAAGATTATGCAGGAATTAATCTTTGTTTTTTTCTGTATCCCCTGGTATATCTGTGCTAATTCCCTCTACTTAATGTCTGTACATATAACTGCGGTTTTGTGTTTCCTCTACCTGATGATGATTGCTTGTGTTGCAATCGAAACGTCGTATATTATGTAATTTTATTTTTTTCTTATTTCTACGTGACTTTACCGAAAAAAAAACAAAGATTACACTCTCGACCGTTCGTTCCATCGTTAATGCGTCTCAACGATATTCAACTGTGTATAAACGTACATCCAGAATTGACCGCGCGCAAACAAAACAAACTCGCAAACACTTAACACACTCGCGAACACAGCACTTGCTCTGAGGCTTTAAGCTACCAGACATCAGCCATGAGCATCAGAGGTTGGCGTGTCCTGTGCTGCACGTAACACATTGCGACTGATTGTGAGCCATTGCAGCGCATTGGGAGAACATTTGAAACGCTCCAAAAATTTGGTTGGCAACGTAACTTGGTTTGACTGCTTCCGACTGGCAAGTTTTCCATCTCAAAGTTGGTGTCTCAAACACGCGAAGTTTCCATCTGTTAAGGACTCCAGCAGGATTTTCACGTTGCTCTTCGTGAGTTGTTCATCACCACTCCCCGTGTGAAACATTTCACTTTCCTTCCATGTCCGCAACATTCACGTTCACTGGCCTGCACTGGCAGTGGTGAGCGTGGTTCTTAAAAGTATGTTGTTTTCTAATTGCACGAGCATTTGTCAGCATGCACGTACATTTTAAACGAGCAATTACAATGTAACTTTATTGCGATAAAAATCAATCGCACGTCCCTGGGTGGGCTTGAACAACCAACCTTTCGGTTAACAGCCGAACACGCTAACCAATTGCGCCACAGAGACAGCTGCAAGAAGCCACCTGCAGTTCCATGTTTGAGGAATCAATGACATTCGATGTCGTCAAATCGAACTGAGTATTGACTTTGCGTTATCAAAATATACTCACGCCACAGAAACCGCGGGTAACAAACTCAGCTGGCCGTGCGGTCTCCAAAGCCCACCGATGATATTCGCTCGGAGCTAACCGCAACACGAGGCACACAAATGCGACGCACAGTTGGGGACACGTAAATGAAAAACTCCATGCAGACTTATTGTCGGACAAAGGGAGACACGTCAGTCAGCAGGTCATTCACTTCCTTTAAGGTAATGATAACTTTCATTGAAATATACTTTTAAGCGTTACACTATGTTTGCACATGCACCGTGTACATTATGCAATGGCCCACAGTCTGTTGTATTTGAAGGATAGCTCATGACCCACATGTTTTGTGAAAAATTCCAATTCATTAAAATGCAATTAACTGAAAAGAAACGCAACTGGCCTGCTTTTAAATGTGTCCACTAAATACCTTTGCAAACATTTGTGAACATGACATGGTGTCTATTAGATTAGCCAACAACTTAACCTTTACAACAAAAAATAAAAAATAATAATACCCCGTCCGTGGGTGGGCTTGAACCACCAACCTTCCGGTTAACAGCCGAACGTGCTAACCAATTGCGCCACAGAGACAGCTGCAGGGACCCTCTCGATCTCGATTTGGTGCTTTCGTGACTGCAGGAATTAATTTTGATTTAAAGCTTTTGTGACTGCAGTAATTCATATTCTTAGATCTTTCGGTAAAGTCACGTTGAAGGGAAACAATAAAATAATAAAATATATATAAAAACAATAAAAATTATCACGACGTTTCCACCATAACACAAACGGTTATCATCAGCCTACACAGCCTACACCTGATGATGACCGTTTGTGTTATGGTCGAAACGTCGTGAGAATTTTTTAAATTGTTTTTATATATATTTTATTGTTTCCCTTCAACGTGACTTTACCGAAAGAGCTAAGAATATGCAGGAATTAATCTTTGTTTTTTTTTCTGTATCCCCTGGTATATGTGTGTTAATTCCCTCTACTTAAGGTCTGTATATATGTCTGCGGTTATGTGTTTCCTCTACCTGATGATGATTGCTTGTGTTGCAATCGAAACGTCGTATATTATGTAATTTGTTTTTTTTATCTTATTTCTACGTGACTTTACCGAAAAAGAACAAAGATTACACTCTCAACGATATTCAACTGTGAATAAGCATACATCCAGAATTGACCGCGCGCAAACAAAACAAACTCGCTAAGACTTAACACACTCGCGATCACAGCACTTGCTCTGAGACTTAAAGCTACCAGACATCAGCCAAGGGCATCAGAGGTTGGCGTGTCCTGTGCTGCACGTAACACATTGCGACTGATTGTGAGCCATTGCAGCGCATTGGGAGAACATTTGAAACGCTCCAAAATTTTGGTTGGCAACGTAACTTGGTTTGACTGCTTCCGACTGGCAAGTTTTCCATCGCAAAGT